TGCTACACTGTCTTAGGTACCCTTTCTTTGGCACAGTAATTAAAAGCCCCTTATTCCAGTCGTCTAGTAGTTCCTCTTCCATCCAGATGTTTTCGATGAGAGGTGTCAGGACGTTGGCGGCGGAGTTTACGTCGACTATCACTCAATCAACTCAAAACGAAATCGCGCGCGCGTATTTTGAATTAAACGGCGCGTAAATTTTTCTATTTGTATTTGTTTTTTATTTATTTTACTAAAACCGAAAATACCGAAAATCCCGGTTTTTGTGAAATGAATACCGGTATTAATTAGACCTAAATTTGGCCCGGTATTCCGGTATTTTCGAAATTCGGTATCCCGGTTTGCGACCCCTAATGTATGGCACTTGGTTTCATCGTTTAAATCTTGATAGACAGGTACAGGCTTATCATTTCCTAGCATACGTGCCAAAAACTACTGTTCGTCTATTTTTCGTTAAATGCTGGTTATTTTTACTTCCGAGATACCGCTTTCTCTCGGACGACGTGCTGTGGGCTCCATATTATAGATTTTTTCAAATTATCTCAAGAAAAGACGACAACTAAATAAAAACTATAGACAAAAAAAGTTACGCCAATACTGAGGTGGGGGCCTGAGAGGCCCACAAGAAACTTTAAAATTAATTTACCTACTGAAATTGCGCGTGCAATCATGTGCACCGTTGTTGACAGCCTCGGCGCAATGAAACTTGAAGGTACTAAAAGATTCGCGTGTGTCGTGCACGTGGGAGAGGAGAAATTCAACAATTTGACTTTTGCAAGGCCTGAGAGGCCCCCACGTCAGTAGTTAAAGGTTAAAAAACAATGTCAATTTTGACGATTAACTGAAAGTCTATTATCTATGAATATAGTAGCGATATATGGTATCCAGCGGCAATGGCAGTGCAAAATTTTGACAATGACTGTAGTTATCATACTTCGAGTTTGTCCATGGAGACGGCAAAAGTCCTTTAGTTGGCCATAAAGTAAACTTAACGGAAAATGTTACTTAATTGATACCGAGGCGCAACCTGGAAGCATTGCTAAGTGTGCTCCTCGTTACTGGTTCATCGTTCGTCATCGTCATTGTTCGTAAAAACCGGGTCGCGGCAGGCAAATAATAAAATTAGTCTTATGTCTTCTCCCTTATTAACTTCGATGGATAAATAGCTAAACCTCCTTGCGCGTAACTGACGTTTGTTGAAAAACCGATTTTTTCAGGCCATCGGATTTTAATTTCAAAAGTCATTGACCAATCCCAGTTCATATAATAACTATTATGACGTTTTCTATTGGCCAAAAGATTTAACTCTCTAAAAATCCGCGTGCAACCATATCCTGCTTAAATATTGTGCACTTTATTCAGCACAGATTAAACAAGCTAAATGACAAATAGAATAGATTGAAATGACAGATTGCACTTGAATTACCCTACTGACTGGGGAATTTTGACTGAAGTTACACGTTCCCTGACTAGTCCGACCTGCTTATTTTCTAATCAGTAAGGCCCAGAACAGACGGTGAAATGAAACTGCAACTTTCTGATCATTCTGATGAATGAAACTGAAACTGACAGTTTCAAACTGGTCGCGTCATGTGTGGTCTCTCAACGGACGCTATGGCAGAAACTTAGATGCAACTCAAAAGTAACTAGCAGTTGCAGTTGCGTTTCACCGTCTGTTCAGGGCCTAAGACCTACCTGAGCGTCCGACTGTCCGCGAAAGGCACGTCGGCACGCGGCACACACCAGCACCAATGTAGGAGTAAGCTCCTCCTCATGAGCTCGCAAATGCATGCGCAAGCGCGAGCGCCGAGTCAGCTGCTTGAGGCAAATGTGGCATTGGAACGGTTTTATGTTGATCCACGTGACCTGTGGTAGCTCCTGGCTTGATGATTATAGCAATCATCAAGTGGTATCTCTCCTGTAATAGTCCTGGGCTGATATCCCTTCCGGGTATTTCTTCTAGAGTCCGCTATAGAGCCACATCCTTACTAGGTGACACATCTTCTGGCTGCATGCTATATCTTTTTATAGTCAGCTCTACTGCAATAATATCTCCTGGCTGATGTCTGTTTATAGCAAGAATCAAGGGCATTTCAACTGCAATGGTATCTCCTGGGTAATCAGACCTACCTGAGCATATTCTTTATTCTCTTTCGTCCTACCTGAGCGTCCGACTGTCCGCGAAAGGCACGTCGGCACACGGCACACACCAGCACCAAGGTAGAGGAGTAAGCTCCTCCTCGCGACCTATAGTATCATCTTCTTATAGCAAGCAAGCATCAAGATGCACCTCTCTTGCAGCAATGGTCCTGGCTGATGTCTCTTTACAGCAAGGATCAAGTGGCATATCTACTGCAATTAAAACTCCTGGTTGCTGTCTCTACCTGTGCACCTATCTCCTGGTCAGTCAGCAGACCAGCCTATTTCCTGGTCAGTAAGACCTACCTGAGCGTCCGACTGTCCGCGAAAGGCACGTCGGCACGCGGCACACACCAGCACCAATGTAGGAGTAAGCTCCTCCTCATGGGCCCGTAGGTGCATTCGAAGACGCGAGCGCCGCGTCAGCTGCTTCAGGCAGATGTGGCATTGGAACGGTTTAATCTGAGAAGAATGGACCCTTTTTAGTTGTGTACCCCAGAAGGTTCCCTTTATCCGATGTGGATGGGCTGTGGGTTATGTGAGGCTCTTCATCAGAAGGCCCCAACTAAAACTCGACACTGTCTTCCGGAACCCAATGAAACTAGTGTTATTGTCCAAGGACATTCGTCCGCGATCTAGAGGCTGCCTAAAGGTCCCTATTTATAAGCCTCTGTCAGATTGTCTTCAATAGAGAAAGGACAATATTTCTAAGAATCGAGTTTTGGGGTTTTTAATTTCCTTCCCTCTTTTAATACGAGTAGTAGTAGATGGTATGGTCATAGTCATGGTCATGGTCATAATTCTAATAGAGTAACACTTGACCGATTGTTTCCTCTATTTACCTAAAGAACCTTGCCTTCGAAAATTCCCCAAATAAAATCGCAAGTTTTAATTTTTACCTGTAAATGAGTGACACCATGCTCATCCAAAGTCTGCTTATCCAAGAACCTTTTTCCGCAGGTCACACAAACATACCGCCTTGTATCCGTGTGTGTGCGACTGTGCTTCGTCAGTGTTGCCCTGCGAAAAAACGTACTAATTGACATCTGCTCTAAATCTTAACTCCTGTACCATCGGCAACAGTGTTAACTATCCATTGCCTGTCATGTCGTCTCATTCTATCGCAAAGAATCACCATTTGATGAGAGCGAGAGCAAAAACGGAAATGGATAGTTAACAGTGTGGCCGTGTGTACCTACATCTTACATAGACACTCCAGCCGCCTGTGAAGATTCCTACATACCTTTGTACCATACTTAGTAGAAGCTTTCTCCGCTGCTCCCAGTCTCTCCCTGTCCTATATCTATCTCTATCGCCATCCGCTCCAGCATCAGACACCTGTAGAGCTCACCTCAGCTAGAAGCTCTCTACACTGTTCCCAGACCCAAACCCTGGACTCCTGAAGGCGTCACCGCATGTTGACGATCTCTTCGCTGTTCCCATCTCTCTTTCACCTCACTGCTGCTCTCCAGCCAGCTAGACTTCTGCAAGGCTCCAAACTTCAGCTAGCCGCCTCAGCGGCTGTGGACTCCTACAAGGAACCTTACTTCAGTTAGAAGCTTTCTTCGCTGCCTCTCAGTGTCTGCCTATCCTATGTTCTGTTCTATCAGACTCCAATCTCTCCAGAGCTGGTCTCACCTCACTGCTGCTCTCCAGCCAGGTAGAAACTGCTGCAGGCTCCTAACTTCAGCTTGAATCTCTCAGCTGCTCCCATCTTTCCTAGACCCTGAGAACTCCTCTACCTACCTTAGGAAGAAGCTTTCTTCGCTGCTCCCAGTCTTTCTCCTGTCTCTACCTATCTGGTGACGTCAGTCTTGGCCTCCTGCCCACCTGAGGTAGAAGCTCTTCCCGCAGCCCGCGACGGGGCAGCGCCTGGGCAGTTACCACCTGGTCTTAAGAGTGAGAACTGCTTGTATTCCGTGCTTCTTACGTCAGAATCAAGACCAGCTTTGCAGACTCTTAGATGGAAGCCCCATTTGACCAGCTGTAGTGACTCCTACTAGATGTAAGCTTCTTATAGTTCTAGACACTCCCTGTGCCTCGTACATCAGACGCCAGCCGCTTCAAGCGTCTGTAGACACTTGGAAGGCGTCACAACTTAGAAGTTTTCTTCGTTGATTCCAGCCATTCCCTGCGCCCTCGTATGTCTTCCACCAGCCACCTCAGTGGCTGTAACCTCCTGCAAGACACTTTACTCCAGGTAGAAGCTCTTTCCATTGCTCCCTGCCTCTGCATATCCTATGTCCTGTTACATCAGACTCCAGACACTCCAGTCTTGGACTCTTGCAAGATCCAGCACCTTGGGCAGAAGCTTTTCAGCTGGTCACAGCCACTCCCTGCGCCTCACACATCACACTCCAGCTGTAGAAGCTCTCTCAGCTGCTCCTATCTCTCCTAGACCTTGGGAACTCCTCTGTCCACCTCACGTAGGAGTACTTTCCTAGATCCTGTGGACCCCTGTAGGACCCACCTGAGGTAGAAGCTCTTCCCGCAGCCCGCGACGGGGCAGCGCCAGCGCCGGCGCCGGTGGTGCTGGAAGTGCACGTGGTCGAACAGCGCCGTCTCCGTCGCGAACTGCTGCTCGCCGCACGCCGCGCACGAGTGGCGGGACTGTGGAGCTTAACACCTGGTCTTAAGAGTGAGAACTGCTTGTGTTCCGAGCGTCTTACGTCATCCGCTTTGACTAGCTCTGCAGACTCTTAGACGGAAGCTTCTCCCTCTAGTTCTATACACTCCCTACGCCTTTTACGTCAGACGCCAGCCGCTCCAAGCGACTGGCGACTAGACTCTTGGAAGACGTCATGCTGCAAGACACTACCCCTGATAGAAGCTCCCTCAGCTGGTCCAAGTCACTGCTTGTGTCCCGTACGTCTGCTGCCAATCGCTCTGGCTACTGAAGACTTCTGAAGCTCCCATGACAGACAGGAGCTCTCTCCACTTCTCCCAGTATCTCCTTACCCTACGCCTTGGACTCCCAGGCGTCATCTCTCTTAGACCCTGGGAACTCCTCTGTCTACTTCAGGTAGAGGTTCTCTCCGCTGCTCCCACCCCTCCTAGACCCCGGGAACTTCTGGTAGAACCTCTCTCCGCTGCTCCAAGTCACTTTCTCTGTCTTTCCTATGTCCTCTGACTCTCTCCAGCCTCAGTCTCCTGTAGGACCCACCTGAGGTAGAAGCTCTTCCCGCAGCCCGCGACGGGGCAGCGCCAGCGCCGGCGCCGGTGGTGCTGGAAGTGCACGTGGTCGAACAGCGCCGTCTCCGTCGCGAACTGCTGCTCGCCGCACGCCGCGCACGAGTAGCGGGACTGTGGAGCTTACCACCTGGTCTTAAGAGTGAGAACTGCTTGTGTTCCGTGCTTCTTACGTCAGAATCAAGACCAGCTTTGCAGACTCTTAGATGGAAGCCCCATTTGACCAGCTGTAGTGACTCTTACTAGATGTAAGCTTCTTATAGTTCTAGACACTTCCTATGCCTCGTACATCAGACGCCAGCCGCTTCAAGCGTCTGTAGACACTTGGAAGACGTCACACCTTAGGTAGAAGTTTTCTTCGTTGATCCCAGCTACTCTCTGCGCTCTCATATGGCTTCCACCAGCCGCCTCAGCAGCTGTAGACTCCTACAAGGAACCTTCTTCAGTTAGAAACTTTCTTTGCTGCTCCCAGCCTCTCTACATATCCTATGGTCGTTTGGTCGTGTTACATCAGACTCCAGACTAGGGCTTGCAATATCGGATAGTTTTCAACTCCGGAATTCCGGTTCTAGTTCCGGAGTTGGTTAAAAAAAGAAAGCGCTTCCCGACAAACACGTACACGTATGTGGCCTCCACTTTAGAACCTTACCCCATCGGCCGTCTGTTCTACGTACTATGTGCCCTGCCCATTGCCATTTTTACCCGACTACGGCCAGTACCGGCGTTAGGGTAGGGCGCGGTTGGGCGACCGCCCAGGGGCGCCGGACTTTGAGGGGCGCCGTTAAGCGGCGCCCCTTTATATTCCCATCTCTGTAAGCGAAAAAAAAACGATGTGTTGGCAACACTAGAATGGAACGCAGTGCTCAATCCGTTCGGTCGTAGCACTACATACATACAGTTTATTTTACTGGGAATCCCCGACCACAGAGAAACACATTATCTATCTCTTTTTAACATTTTAGTTCAAAAGAGTTGGCGTTATTTTTGATGGAGCGGAACACAGCTCATTCTTATTCATTCAATCGGTGCACGCACTTAAAAACAGTTATCGCAATTACATATTTTAAAACAAACAGACGCAGTAATCTGGCGGTCCACGCTAAGTTACGAAGTGCATGTTTTTTTCTTTTTGTCGCCGACTACAGAGTGACATAGGCACANGTGTTACGGCTCTCGGTGATTTTATTTTCTTTTTGATAGCGTAATTATTGACGTAGGTATTTAATTTTTCTACCATAAATTAGTAAGTCTGTTTAATTAAAACTCATTTACCACTTTGAAATCTTTTGCATTTTAACGGTCCTAAGCCCGTGAAAGTATGAAGGGAAAATCGACAACTTATAAATCGTATCGCAATGAATGAAATGCGGCGCGGGCAGGCGCGTACGTGTGTGCGTGCGTAAGCGAGTCAGCCGTGACCACGGTGTAAGTGTTTTTTCATACTGTTTCTGGGTGCTTTATTTTGACATGTTTGTACTGGACGATACAAAAATAAAAAATACGTGTTTTGTCTTTCGCTTCATAGATTATTATATTAAAATTTGGATACTGATACAAAAGTCACCCTGTATATCTATGATGTATTCTTAAAATAGAATCCAATGATGTACCTACCTTAATATCAGGTTTTTAGACCTGGTACCGCACGGAAGTAATAAAATGTCTTCACAATGCGAAACCAGGTCGAAGCACCTTGTACCCTGCACACCTGGTACCGCACCCCACGCTAGCTTCGTGCAGCCAGTGTTGCCTCGCATTCGTAAGAAACGCACATGTCGACATGGCGTCAAGAGAAACAAACAATATCAAAACTGCAAATTGATTATAATTTAATTTGCTACACGATTTATTGCTAATTTAAATAGTTTTTTGTGACAAACATTTGAAGTTGTAACTAAATGTTATTACATAATATGTTTTCTTTAAATATAGCTTATTTAAGTATTTATGCACGTATGTCTTATTTGTAAAATATTTAGACTAAATTATCCCTTTCGGACCCGCGCTTAAACTAGAAATTAATTTGTAATTTTGAAGAAGAATTTTAGGTAATTTGGGGCCGCAGATTACGAATCCGCTATAATTTTCCAGATTTTCCGCCGCCATCTTGGAAAATTCATATACCAACAATTGTATCAAACTGGGCCCTTCACTTCCCACGTACAATTGTGAGGGTCAAAATTGTAAGGGTTTTGGAAATTTTATCAATGGCATGAATTCCGAAAAACGTATTTATAACCAGTAAGGAATAAAGAGGTTTCATTTTTATACCAATATTTGCCATTTAATATTGATTTGTGGGCAAAACCATCTGTTCCATGAGCTCAAAAGTAAATATAGCACTCGAAATATTTCTATGAAGTTTTAATATCTCCTGGATCATGAACTGCATCTCCTGGAAGATGTTGACGATTGAAGGGCTTCGTCTGCTATGCCGCTTGCATACTCAGAGGTATGTATCGTCATGAATGTCTGAGCCTTCATCAGAAGAAGAGGAGTAGTTCATCTGAAGTAGCCGAAACTAGCTTTTGTCATTGTCATCGCTCTCATCCCCAGATGTATTGAGCATCTCTGCGATAGTAGCGTCGTTTAAAATCGGAAACATGGTGCGGAAACCATGAAAAATTAATAATTATGAGAAACTTAAAATACGCATAAGGTATTGTAGGGCCCACGTCGATACAATTGTGTCAGTAAAGTTCGTTAAGCCATTATGCCAAAGTCTTTGCTTACAATTAGTCACTGTTATCACAAAAAGATGCTATTTTTATCTATTTGTTTAATCAATAACTTGTAAATTACTACAATTATAAAATAAAACCATAGTAGGTACTTTCTTTCGCCAAGTCGGGGAGCGCAATCAGTCATGAACTGTACAGGTTGTAACCTGCTCACCAACTGCGCTTCGGACAAAATTTGCACGGGAGGTGAAAGAACGCATCCCGCACAATCGTACGATACTCAGCCCATCCACTTTTAATGTAAAACTAATGAGATAATCTCGATTTTGTAACCCGCACAATTGTATTGGAGCGGTCCGAAAGGGCTAATAAAGTTGCGAATACATATATCAAGGACTTCCTTATCTAAGAACCTATTTTGATACTTAAACGTTTTGAAAACTTAAAATAATTTATGAAAAATTTCAATATCGGAATACGATATTGGCTTCAGTTCCGGAATTGAAATATCGGAAAAAATGTATCCGAAATTCCGGAGTTACGAAATTCCGGAATTCCGGTATTCAAGCCCTACTCCAGACACTCCAGTCTTGGACTCTTGCAAGATCCAGCACCTTAGGCAGAGCTTTTCAGCTGGTCACAGCCACTCCCTGCGCCTCACACATCACACTCCAGCTGTAGAAGCTCTCTCAGCTGCTCCTATCTCTCCTAGACCCTGGAAACTTCTGGTAGAACCTCTCTACGCTGGTCTCAGTCTCTGTCTGCCCTAGACCCTGGGAACTCCTCTGTCCACCTCACGTAGGAGTACTTTCCTAGATCCTGTGGACCCCTGTAGGACCCACCTGAGGTAGAAGCTCTTCCCGCAGCCCGCGACGGGGCAGCGCCAGCGCCGGCGCCGGTGGTGCTGGAAGTGCACGTGGTCGAACAGCGCCGTCTCCGTCGCGAACTGCTGCTCGCCGCACGCCGCGCACGAGTGGCGGGACTGTGGAGCTTAACACCTGGTCTTAAGAGTGAGAACTGCTTGCGTTCCGAGCATCTTACGTCATCCGCTTTGACCAGCTTTGCAGACTCTTAGATGAAAGCCCTGTAGTGACTCCTACAAGATGTAAGCTTCTTATACTTCTAGACACTCCCTACGCCTTTACGTCAGACGCCAGTGCTCCAAGCGGCTGTAGACACTTGGAAGGCGTCACAACTTAGATAGAAGTTTTCTTCGTTGATTCCAGCCATTCCCTGCGCCCTCGTATGTCTTCCACCAGCCGCCTCAGTGGCTGTAACCTCCTGCAAGACACTTTACTCCAGGTAGAAGCTCTTTTTATTGCTCCCTGCCTCTGCATATCCTATGTCCTATTATCCAGACCCTTCAGCCTTGGACTCTTGCAAGATCCAGCACCTTAGGCAGAAGCTTTTCAGCTGGCCACTCAGCAGCCACTCCCTGCGCCTCACACATCACACTCCACCTCTAGAAGCTCTCTCAGCTGCTCCTATCTCTCCTAGACCTTGGGAACTCCTCTGTCCACCTCACGTAGGAGTACTTTCCTAGATCCTGTGGACCTCTGTAGGACCCACCTGAGGTAGAAGCTCTTCCCGCAGCCCGCGACGGGGCAGCGCCAGCGCCGGCGCCGGTGGTGCTGGAAGTGCACGTGGTCGAACAGCGCCGTCTCCGTCGCGAACTGCTGCTCGCCGCACGCCGCACGAGTGGCGGGACTGTGGAGCTTGCCACCTAGTCTTAAGAGTGAGAACTGCTTGTATTACATGTGACTTACGTCGGAACCAAGACATCTGCAACGACCAGCTTTGTAGACTCCTAGATGGAAGCCCCATTTGACGCAGTTAGTGACTCCTAGATAGAAGTTTCTCCCTATAGTCCCAGACACTCTATTCTTCGTACATAAGACGCAAGCTGCTCCAATGGGTTTTACACTCCTGGAAGACATCATACCTTAGGTAGAAGCTCTCTTCGTTGATCCCAGATTAGTATCTGCGATCAACGTAGAGAGCATCTGCATCCCATACATCACACTCGCTATAGTTGCTCCGGCCAGCTCTAGACCTTGGAACCTTGCCTCAGGCAGGAGCTCTCTCCGCTGCTTCCAGTCTTTTTCCCATCTCTGTCTATCTGATGACGTCAGCCCTGATCTCCTACAGCCCCAGCTCAGGTAGAATCTCTCTCCGCTGCTTCCACATCTAGACCCTGAGAAATCCTGCAGCCCACCTCAGTTTAGAACCTCTCTTCGCTGCTCCCAGTCTATCTCCCATCTCTGCCTATCTGATGACGTCAGCCCTGGACTCCTAAGCTAGAAGCTCTTTGTTGCTCTCCTCCAAGACCCTATTAACTCCTGCAATCCTCCTCAGGTAGTAGCTTTCTTCGCTGATCTCCTCCTATATCCTGTGGACTCCTGTAGGGCCCACCTGAGGTAGAAGCTCTTCCCGCAGCCCGCGACGGGGCAGCGCCAGCGCCGGCGCCGGTGGTGCTGGAAGTGCACGTGGTCGAACAGCGCCGTCTCCGTCGCGAACTGCTGCTCGCCGCACGCCGCGCACGAGTAGCGGGACTGTTGAGCTTACCACCTGGTCTAAAGAGTGAGAACTGCTTGACTAGCTTAGCCCCATTTGACTAGCTATAGTAACTACTATATAGGAGCTTCTCTCTATAGTCCCAGACACTCCATTTGTCCCCTACATGTACCGCCAGCCGCTTCAGTCTGCTAAGGACCCTTGCAAGGTCCAGCACCTAAGGGAAAAGCTTTTTCCCTGATCCTAGACACTCCCTTCGCCATGTGTATGACACTCCAGATGCTCTAGCCAGCTGTACACTCCTGTAAGATACTTTACCCTAGTTAGAAGCTCTCTCAGCTGGCTCCTGTCACTGCCTGTGTCCCGTACGTCTGCTGCCAATCACTCTGGCTACTGTAGACTCCTGGACACTCCCTAACAGACACTCTCTGGTCTGGCTCCCATCACAGGCAGAACCTCTCTCCACTGCTACTACTCTTCCTCCTGTCTCTGCCTATCTGATGACGTCAGCCCTGGACTCCTAAGCCCACCATAGTTAGAAGCTTTCTCAGCTGCTCCCATCTCTTCTAGAGCCTGGAAACTCCTCTGCCTACCTCAGGTAGAGGCTCTCTTCGCTGCTCCCAGTTTTTCTCCCATCACTGCTTATCTGATGACGTCAGCCCTGATCTCCTACAGCCCCAGCTCAGGTAGAATCTCTCCGCTGCTTCCACATCTAAACCCTGAGAAATCCTGCAGCCCACCTCAGTTTAGAACCTCTCTTCGCTGCTCCCAGTCTATCTCCCATCTCTGCCTATCTGATGACGTCAGCCCTGGACTCCTAAGCTAGAAGCTCTTTGTTGCTCTCCTCCAAGACCCTATTAACTCCTGCAATCCTCCTCAGGTAGTAGCTTTCTTCGCTGATCTCCTCCTAGATCCTGTGGACCCCTGTAGGACCCACCTGAGGTAGAAGCTCTTCCCGCAGCCCGCGACGGGGCAGCGCCAGCGCCGGCGCCGGTGGTGCTGGAAGTGCACGTGGTCGAACAGCGCCGTCTCCGTCGCGAACTGCTGCTCGCCGCACGCCGCGCACGAGTGGCGGGACTGTGGAGCTTACCACCTGGTCTTAAGAGTCAGAACTGCTTGTGTTCCGTGCATCTTACGTCATCCTCTTTGACCATCTTTGCAGACTCCTAGATGGAAGCTTCTCCCTCTAGTTCTAGACACTCTCTACGCCTTTTACGTCAGACGCCAGCAGCTCCAAGCGACTGGCGACTAGACTCTTGGAAGACGTCATGCTGCAAGACACCTTACCCCTGGTAGAAGCTCTCTCAGCTGGTCCCAGTCACTGCTTGTGTCTCGCACGTCTGCTGCCGATCGCTCTGGCTATTGTAGACTCCTTGAGCTCCCATCACAGGCAGAAGCTCTCTCCGCTGCTCCTAGTCTTCTTCTCGTCTTTGCCTCTCTGCTGACGTCACCTCTGGGCTCCTGTGACTCACTTCTGGTAGAATCTGTCTCTGCTTCCAGTCTCCACCTACCCTAGATCCTGAGAACTCCTGCCGCCCACTACAAGTTGAAGTTCTCGTCACTGCTTCTATGCTAGACCCTATTTACTCCTGTGCCCACCTCAGGTAGACCCTGGGAATTGTTTCTCTCCTCCTAGATCCTGAGAACTCCTGCAGCGCTCCTCAGGTAGTAGCTTTTTTCACTGCTCTCCTATCCTAGACCCTGGGAACTCCTATCCTGCCCACCTGAGGTAGAAGCTCTTCCCGCAGCCCGCGACGGGGCAGCGCCAGCGCCGGCGCCGGTGGTGCTGGAAGTGCACGTGGTCGAACAGCGCCGTCTCCGTCGCGAACTGCTGCTCGCCGCACGCCGCACGAGTGGCGGGACTGTGGAGCTTACCACCTAGTTCTTAAGAGTGAGAACTTCTTGACTAGCTTAGCCCCATTTGACCAGCTATAGTAACTCCTAGATAAGAGCTCCTTCTTTACATCTACCGCCAGCCGCTCCAGCCAGCTACGGACTCTTGCAAGGTCCAGCACCTTAGGGAGAAGCTTTTCCCCTGATCCTAAAACTCCCTGCGCTATGTTTATGACACTCTAGACGCTCTAGCCTGCTGTACACTCCTGTAAGATACTTTACCATAGTTAGAAGCTCTCTCAGCTGGTCCCTGTCACTGCTTGTGTCCCGTACGTCAGCCGCCAGTCGCTCTGGCTTCTGTAGACTCCTTGACACTCTCTAACAGACACTCTCTGGTCTCCTGGCTCCCATCACAGGCAAAACCTCTCTCCATTGCTCCCAGTCTTCTTCCCGTCTCTGTCTCTCTAATGACGTCAGCTCTGGGCTCCTGCAGACTCACTACTGGTAGAATCTGTTACCGCTGCTCCCAGTCTTTCTGAAGTCTCTGCCTACCGAAGACTCTGAGAACTCCTCAGCCCACCTCAGGTAGAGCCTGCCTCCACTGCTCCCATCTCTCCTAGACCCTGGGACCTCCTGCCCACCTGAGGTAGAAGCTCTTCCCGCAGCCCGCGACGGGGCAGCGCCAGCGCCGGCGCCGGTGGTGCTGGAAGTGCACGTGGTCGAACAGCGCCGTCTCCGTCGCGAACTGCTGCTCGCCGCACGCCGAGCAGGAATAGCGGGACTGACCGGGAAGAGTGGGGGTCTCGTGGAACTGCCTATGTGGTGGGGATAGGGGATATAGTGGGTGGAATAGGGAATATAGTGGTTGGAACAAGGAATGCTGGACTCAGGCTGCTACCAATCGATCAACATGGAAAGCATTGGGGGAGGCCTATGTTCAGCAGTGGACATCCTATAGCTGAAATGATGATGATAAAATATAGTGGTAGGAATAGAGAATATACGGGATCTAGGCTTGGTGTTATAAAAAAAAAGTTCAATACTTTCAAAAAAATACAAATACCTAAATACAGTGCACAGGACTAGCGAGATCGATAAGGGTGAGGGTCTCATGGAATTGCCTATGTGGTAGGGAATAGAAATAGGGCATTTAGACCGGGTAATATTTATTTGCGACACATCAATCAAATCAATCAAAATAGGGCTCAAGTTTGAGAAGAACTCCGGAGGCCTCAGGGTGTCAGAACGCATAGTTTGGGAACCCCTGGCCTAAGGTACAGTGCATACGAATAGCGAGATGGCCCGGCAGAGGTGGAGGTCTCGTGGAACTGCCTACGTGGTGCGAAAAGGAAATATAGGGACAGGAAGTTCGATGTAGGAAATACGGTGGTTAGAATAAGGAATATAGTGGTAGGAATACGAAATAATTAGTAGTTGGTTTATACAAAGTAACGTCAAAGCGGTAAAGTATACCTATATATACATATAACTGCCAACTTACATGTGAAACTTCAGCCGTACTTTAGAAGTGAAAGATTCGTTGCAGTTATGGCACGTCACTATTTGGGGATCAGATGTCGGTTCTTTATTCTTCCTGCGGCGTGGTCTCTGGAAAGCAAAGATTTTGTTCATTTTTTTAAAGCTGATGTGCAGATAGCCAGATGTGCAATACCCTGTAGGAACAATACAGTATTAATAGAAAAATACCCAGAATCCACGTTCGTTTCATCCACGAAGACGCGCCCCACCAATTTATGGTCTCGGTCGCGCGGGGTGCGGGGAGTTTGATCCGACCAATCCGAGCGGCATTATTGTAGTGTGCGTGGGCACTCATGGATCATTTAGCGTGTACCGATAACACTCAAACATTAGCGGAAGAACGGTGGGGCGCTTCTTCGTGGATGACACGATCTATATTAGTACCTATTAATAGAAAAATACCCAGAACTATTGGTAGAACAGATATCTTACCACAACTAGCAAGTCGTTATCAGGCGTTACTACCCTAGGTCGGCCTTGCGCTCTCTGAAATCAAATCAAATCAATCAATTTTATTTTATTATCATTCAAAGTTAAATGAGAAACGATTTCCACAAAAACTGTGCCAAACTTTGAAGTTTCAGGCACTGTGATTTGATAGACTTTGAAAGTTTAAAAAAGTTAAACGCCAAAAAGTAAAAAAGTCCCGTTATAACTAATTTAAATAAATTGAAAATACTTAATTGAGTAGAATAAATGTGAGAATAATAAATAAAATAACTATATACCTAAACAGCTGTAACATTCATTTATTTTCCGTGTTACTATTTAACCCTTAACCAGGCCTTGGTTAAAATTAGTCACCAAATCAATTTGAACTTAATGCTGTGAAGATACGGTTGAAAACCAATAACTTTTTTTTGAGCCTGCTTAAGAATTAATCCAAGACTTAACTAGGTATCAAAGGACTTTTTTCTACGCGGTTTATACTTATTATTATTCTGTGCTACTACATACTTTGCAGCAACATTTTAAATAATCTACTAAAGCCTGGTCCGTGAGCACGTAGAATTTTGTCCAATGACCCCAAGCTAACCATCCTTATCGCTTGCGCGTAATAATGTTGCTGTCGCGCTCGCACACTCACCGCGGGCGCCCGTCTGACAGTCGCGACAGCAATATAATTACGCGCGAGCGATAAGGATGGGTAGCTTGGGGTCATTGGACAAAATTTACGTGTTCACGGACTAGGCTTTAGAAACATAATCTCAGATTAGAAAAATACAACTACAAATTATTCAAATCCTTAAGCTAAGCGAGACAGGCTTATATTAGGTACTATCTCTGTTTCACAGTAAATAACAAACTGATGGTAGGCATACAAATGTTATTTTCTGACTACCCACATCAAAATAACTTTTATGAAATCCTTTCTAGTCGGCATGCAAATAGCGCAAAACGAGACGGACTATATTTCTATTTCATTCGGTGCAATAAATAAGAAACTGAAGGTAGGCATACAAATTGTAGTTTCAGACTACCCGCACCTTACTAACCTTTAGAAAATCTTATGTCAGCACGCAAATAGCTCAAAATGAAAACTATATCACTATTTCATTCGGTAAAGTAAATAACAAATTGAAGGTAGGCACATAAATGTTATTTTCTAACTACCCGCATCAAAATAACTTTTATGAAATCCTTCCTAGTCGGCATGCAAATAGCGCAAAACGAGACGGACTATATTTCTATTTCAGTCGGTGCAATAAATAAGAAACTGAAGGTAGGCATGCAAATAGTAGTTTCCGCCTACCCCACATCAATATCTCCCTTAGCGCAAAATGAGTCAGACTATATTACTATTTCATTTGGCACAATAAATAACAAACTGAAGGTAGGCCACACAAATTTTAACTTTCCGTCTACCCCCACCATATTAAACTTTATAAAATTTTTATTATGTCAGCATGCAAATAGCGCAAAATGAAACAAACTATATCACTATTTCATTCGGTACAGTAAATAACAAATTGAAGGTAGGCACATAAATGTTATTTTCTAACTATCCGCATCATATTAACCTTTATGAAATCCTTCTTTGTCGACATGCAAATAGCGCAAAAGGAGACAGACTAATATCACTATTTCATTCGGTACAGTAAATAATAAACTGAAGGTAGACATACAAAAAGTTTCAAACTACCCGCATCATATTAACCTTTAGGAAATCCTCCTTAGTGGGTACGCAGATAGCGCTGTCCTCTTTACTCTCGGACTTTCTCTTTCTGCCACGACGAGGGATTCTGCACTTATGGGAGGATAGGCACACTTCTGATGTGAAGATTCGACTACAAAATTACATAAATATTATAAATAATGACTACAAAATTAAAATTGAACGAAACATGTAGGTAGATGATAATTTGATATTCAAACTTACCTACAGTTGAAGCATTTGTGAATAGTCTTTGGACAAGTCTCTTGTTTCTGGTGGCCCTGAAAATGTCATATCTGATCAAACGAGTGTTGTTTTTTATTTGTCATGCTCTCTATAGAAAATGAATGGAGATGAAAGGCCATGGCTGGAACATGCTTATAAAATGCAGAAGCCTGGCAGATTGACAAGCACAAATTCTTAGAGTAGGCGCACACCGTTGATTTTTCGTCGGCCGATAGTTTAGTCGGGTAGTTGATCAGCATGGGCATGTATGGGAGTGCGCACACTACGCCGATTCGATTTGGCCGATTCTTCATACAAATTAAAATCGGTCACAACTATCGGCCAACTAAAAATCAACGGTGTGCGCCTACTCTTAATCTTTCTCTGAGGGTTTGTTCCCACGGCAATACAGTTTTGCGCGATCCCGCATAACACTGAACACGAATCATGCATGAGTAAAATACTAAAGGAGATCCTGCAAAAAACAGTTCCTGCAAAAAAATGGATGTCTCGGTAGTAACAAGCCGTGCAACCATCTGAAAATTGGCAATCTGGTATGATCTAGGTAGGTAGGAGTACCTAAGTCTAATAGAAAATGCGAAAAAAGTCCAGCTATAGGTACTAAACTAAAGGCCGGTCTGTGAGCACGTATAATTTTGTCCAATGACCCCAAGCTACCCATCCTTATCGCTCGCGCGTAATTATGTTGCTGTCGCGCTCGTACACTCACTGCGGGCGCCCGTCGTACAGTCGCGACAGCAGTATAATTACGCGCGAGCGATAAGGATGGGTAGCTTGGGGTCATTGGACAAAATTCTACGTGCTCGCAGACCAGACTATACCAGGGGAATACCTGTTTTAATAGCATTTACCTTCGCCGCATTGAACAGGCTCTCCAACTGTTTGGTGGCATCATCATCACCGGTCTGAACTATCCAGATCTCATCATCGCTGCTGGCCAGGGCTTCTTGCTTCACCTCTGTTTTGATCAGTAAGGTAGAATCCGCCTGTAAGGTTTGGTGAAGATTTTACGTTTACAATCATGGTGACATGGTACATTTCATAGAGATATAGAAAGATGCCAATTAATGCGCTGAGTTCAAAACTCAGCATTATAAATTCACACACAAAGTAATCAAAATGTGCTCATTATCCACTGCAGTATCAGTACTCAACGTTCGAATAATCTTTAGTACTAAGCAAACAATGTAAACTGTTTGCATTATGACGTCGCTGCTGTCACGAGCAATGTGTTCTGTTTTTGGGCATATTGCTGCGACACCGGCCCCGCCCCCTTGTCACATCTCCCTTTAGTTTCTGTGATCTGTGTGTTGTGTATCTTTTCATAAATGTTACTTAAACCTTTGCTTTGCACTGGAGGGAAGTCGAACCTTAATTAGGAACTTCTCCTAATGTTCTTCTGATTAATTTCGTTGCGGGTCCAATGACAGTTTAACTTTCCCCCGGGACAAACTTGACCTTCACTGGTTGGGTTGTTGGCGGTCAAGCTGTAGCCTGGCTAGACAGGAGTTGCAGCGGTGGGAACGAGAGGTGGGAATAGTCCCGTTTACTCTCAAAGGAGATTTTGTTGATACCCACTATCTATAGTCCGGTCGCCGACTATAGCTAGTGGGTATCAACAAATTCCAAGCTACCCATCTTTATCGCTCGCACGTAATTATGTTGTCGCGCTCGCACACTAAGTGCGAACGCCCCGTCGTACAGTCGCGACAGCAATATAATTACGCGCGAGCGATAAGGATGGGTAGCTTGGAGTCATTGGACGAAATTCTACGTGCTCGGCGACCGGGCTTTAGTACAAACAAAACTTAGGCAATTTTTTCATAATTTATAATCTACGAGGAACAAGTCGCGCGCAAAAACTAATACGAACTAAATTGAACAGCAAATAAAGTAAAATGAAAACTACACAAACCGATTCAGCGTTGCTGAGTAACTTGCCCACGTTGTCTAATGGTGGTACAGGACTCTCTAGAAAATTGGAAAAATATGTTAAAGACCAAATTAATGTTTATTTTACCATGATGACAAGAAAATTAAATACTCTATAGACGACGAAGACCATTTTCTGTTCAAATGAGCTTGTCTCTTTCACTCCACTGTATTTGAGGGTACTTAAAACACCTTTTTAATTTGTTTGTCCCTTTCACTCAAGCTCTAACATTTGTGAGGGTACTTCTTACCTTTTTTATTGTTTATCTTTCACTCAAACCTAAACGTTTTGTGTGGGTACTTAGCACCTTTTTGTTTCTCTTTCACGCAAGCCTTAACGTTTTGTGAGGGTACATAATAAAATTACAAACCTTTGCTACCGTCGTTCTCAGTTCTCTTGCAAGAACTTCGAGTCCTTCTGGCGATGGGAGACGCTGGTTTTGACTTTCCATCTTCTGAAGATACAAAATGGAATTTATTATAACTGCTTACGTACCACAATGTTTAGCAGAAATAGCTAGATAGAACGACAGAGAGAGAGAGAGTGAGATATAGATGGATAAAAAAGTATCATTTTGCATTTTTACAAACTAAACAAAGGCTCCTTGGGGGAGGTCTTTGTCCGAAAGTGGACGTCATTTGGCTTAAACGAAGAAGCTAGAATTTTTTTGCAGCTGGGTAAGGGTATACATAAAAATGGTTGCTAAAGCCTGGTCCGTGAGCACGTAGAATCCCGTCCAATGACCCCAAGCTACCCATCCTTATCGCTCGCGCGTAATTATATTGCTGTCGCGACTGTGAGTGTGCGAGCGCGGACCAGGCTTTAGAAAGAAATGCAATTTCTTACTTCTTCATTTATACAACAACTTATTTACCTTTTTTGATCATCTCATCACTGTCCATAGGTTTCTGAACTTCTTTCTTCTCATGAGCCGCCTTCAAATGACCTTTCAGCCATTTTGCATTTGAATATCCTGCAAGTAAATTTGCATCAAAGGAAAACAATTGATTACTCTCATAATGACGAATTTGTTTAGTAAATTCTATAAACATAATCCCACTCTTCCCGTGGACGTCGTAAAGGTGACTAAGGAACAAATACGTGAACATCAGGCCTCCCCAACCCGTCTGGCCAGCGTAGGGAGTGTAGGGTGTAAGCCTGTAAGCCAAATCCTCCATCTGCCTCTGGTAAATTAGAGGGTCGTGGAGAATAAGACTGACCAATCAGATTGCGTTATTTCCACATAACTGAGTTGCAGAATCCGGGTCCATCAGGTGAGGTGTAGGCCCAGAATTCCTCGATCTGGATAAAAAAAACTTCTCCGCTCAGCTACGGTTCAGAACTTCGGAAATATGTTTGGTTAGTCCCTGTTTTTTCCTGAACTAGGTTAAAACCTGTGTTTCAGGCGAGACAGTGAACTGATGATGATGATGATGATGATGATCTAACCGTAATCACAAAGGGGGCAAGGGTAGACCGCCCCGTCTTCCAAATCGTGCTTATGTTCTTCTCCATGATCCATGACTTCCGATAGCTCAGCAAAGATCTTTTCGCAAAACCTGTGGATCGATTGGAAATTAATAAACCAACATTTGACAGCAGCAGAAATTTATTGTTAACTAGCTTTTGCGCATGGTTTTAGCTCTGTTGCAGAAGGAAGACCTTATAAAACGTTCCCCTTTCAAAAACTGGGATTTACTATGTTTTCCCAAAGTCAACGATTTTCTCTTTACCTTTGCACCTAACTACATTGATTCAGTTGTATACGCGTCAAATATTGGACTGTTGGTTGGAGACACTGATATGTAATTTAAGCCAATTTTAGAATGATTTTTTCTCAATTTGATTTGGGTTTTATATCTACTTCTTTTTTTTTGTGTTATTTTGCGCTTTTTTCAAGAATGTCCTAAATCTATTAAATGTCTTTTGGACTACAAACTACCAGTGTATGCTGACCTGCATTTCAATTCAGTTTCCGTATTATTATCAGCTTGATATTTTCCCAAAAACTCCTTAACATCTTCATCTGCGTCTTCCAAATTGTCTATGATGTTTTCGTCTATATCCGCAGGCTCTATGATTTCCACATCGCTAGAGCTTTCATCGTTATCCTCATCTTTAACGATAACAACATCGTCTGTACACCTGGGATCATTGTCTATAGGTTTAGTTACTATTTCCCCATCAGACCCAATTTCAACTTTGACAAACTCTACTTTTTCGTTCTCTTTCTTCTTATTAATTTCTTTATCGTTTATTAAATCTGCGTTGAAAGTAGTTTTGAAGTCAATCTTTTTCGTCTTCTGGAATATGTACTGCTGATTGTTTCTTATCACCAGGTATTCATCAGGGCCCAATGATTGGTTTGGGCCCTTCATGCGACTTGGTTTGAAATTTTCTTCTAAGCATCCCTCACAAATTATCTTTAAGTGACTTGAAGTTCTTTTTTGGGGAGACGCCCGGTGTCGTTTTTGGTCTTCTTTATCGAATACATAAAGTTTTTCGATTTTATTCTCAACGAATTTACCACAAATTATACAATTCTGGTTCTCCGCATCTCCTATCAAAATCCCATCGTCGTAGTTTACAGGTTTAGAATTCCAGTTCTTATGGACTGACCGAGAAGGATCAGTTTTGCGTACATGCCGCCGTTTCTCGTTTAGATTCTGACCTTCATACGGGAGAGAAGCAACTGGAGAATCTTTGAACATATTGAGAATTTCTTCCCTAGTATATCCAGTAAAATCATCTCCTTTGAATTTGTCGTCATAGTTTTTATAGTTGTCTCTTATCAAGCTTCTTGGAGACTTATTCCTATTAGTAACAGGGTTCAAAGTGGTATATGTTTTAGCTGTGCTGGACTCCAAATACTTTGTAAACTGAGCTTCGAAGACGGAAGTGTTGTTGCATACCAGTTTAAAAGGCAACGTATTGACAAAACTACGTCTAGGACTGCCTTCTCTGCTGGACCATCTGGAAACTGGGCTTTCGACTATATTGTACTTTCTAGTTTCTTCGTCCCCAACATTTTCCAGGTCAAATTCGTCGACGTCATCAGTGTATTTGATGAACGGTATCTTCTCTGCTGATAGATCTACGTGTGGGTCTTCGTTGTCAAAGTGTATTTGAGACGCTCGGATTTGAGTGCCATCATCAAGTTCATACTCAAGATCGTTGGGATCGTTGCTTGGTTCCAACATTTGGTCAAAGCTCTGAGAGGGCAGTGCTTGGTCATAAGGTTGGGGTAAAGCTTGATCAAATGATTGGGGCAAAGATTGGTCGAATGTTTGGGATAATACTTGGTCGTAACTTGGTAGAGACATGACTTGGGAGTCTAAATTGTTTTCTGTGCTCATGAGGAACTGATAGATATTGTCATTTAGGGACACTGGCTGGTTTCGAGTCACGGAATTTATGTCGACTTCAAAACCGAGGGTCGATCTGGAATTTTAATAACTTAATTAACTGAAAATATTTTTTAAGGCAAAATAGTTTAAAAACAACAATATAAATAGAATACTGTGTTGATTTCACAGGTTGTAACACTTGTAACATATTGATAGAGCAAACTATTTTTTTTTATGCATAACAAGGCAGATATTTGACCACAATCGCACCTAAACTTAAGTGGGATGCAGTCTAGGATGGTACATATCTGCCCTGTAAGTGCCTATTCACTCTCGCCTTGAAAAGACCCGGATTATAGTCTTCGGGAAAGACAGCAGCAGGCAACAAATTCCAGTCCCTAGCTGTTCGCATTATAAAAGAGTCATCGAAACACTTAGTGCGAGCTGGTGGTTTGAAGTGCCCTGAATGTTAAGGGGCCTAAATACTAATAAAAGTTGAATTTTTCACATTAGCCTTATAATGTTGAAGAAAATCTAAAAACCAAAAAAATACTTCAAAAACAACAAAACCTTACTTGGCTTTGACCAGGAAAGACTGGAAGTCGTCAGTAGGTTCAATTCTCAAGGCCACTTCTTCTCCGCTCACATTCTCCATGCAGACTATCAGAGGTGGCTGAGCCTGCGCCATATTTGGATCTATAGAGGTAATAATTATGGTCAAGGAAATAGGAACGGGCTTGGGAAATTGGAATAAAAAAGAAGGGATTGTTACAATTGAAACTTATTATATATTTTAGTCCGAAGCCAATTACAAGTATTGTGTGAAATGCATGCGTTAAGAAGAAAAGCATTAAACATTTCTTTAAAGGTTTAAATACTTAACTTTCTTGATATAATCTAAAAAGTAATATTTTTTGTGACTATAGTATGTAGGTACCTACTCAAACATTGATAAAAAAAACTTATACAACAGCCCTGTAGTTTAGTACCCTTGTAGATTGAGTAGGAAAAACTTTATATCGCAATATGCAGGTAAGTAGGATGGTAAATTCAAGCATATTAGATATTTTAATATTACTTTGTTTAAATGCAAAGAAAGCTATTTATTATAAGTCATTACTGAAATAGTGCTGCATGTTATAAATAATTATCAAGAACTGCTAGAAACTTGAATAAAATATAAAAGCCATTGGAAAATATATTATGTTTAAAAAATATGGACACAAATCAATAATGCAATAGTTTGTAAAAGATCGCGGAAAAGTTTTAAAAGTTTTGCGAAACTTGGGGCTAAAATATTAACTTTTATTTCTCGAAAAAGTAATCGATTCCTTTCCAGCCAAGGCATGTCAAGAAACCATCAGGCAACATGATTATTATGATTATTTATTGACACTGGCCATATCAAAGTATTTTATTTCAAGCCAGTAACAAATCCCCAACTGGCAAATATTTTGCCAAATTTCACACAGAAATACACTAAAACTACTCATAAAAGTTATGTAAACCATACAAAACTTACCATGAAATCTTGTTTCACTAAAAAAACATTATTTTTCAAAAGCAACTGGCAGATCTACTGAAAAATAACAAATGAATTAATATTTTGCAAGCCATTTGTGTCAATTTCAAAACAAAAACATTCTAAAATCCATAGAGAATGAGATAATATCCGGTTAGCAAATGTCAGATGCTGTAATTTGATTGGTCAGCCACTTTGCTGTCATGAATAGGGATGTCAAATATTTGTTTCCTTCGATTAATTAATCGAACTATTTCAATTGAAATAATAATCTTTATTGCAGGAGCATGACTTATGTTTACCGTGGTAAATGGAGGATCTGTGGGTCCTAGACAATGTGCACATTGTAATCGCAAACGAATCGAAACTTGGTCGAGAGGCCTTTTTTTGTATGAAGTTTTGTCGGATACGATTTTCGATTCGATCAAAAAGTGTAAGTTGTCTAGGGGGGACTGGGGGAGCTGATCAGCCCCCCTAGACAAAACGCACTTTTTGATCGAATCGAAAATCGAATCCGTCAAAACTCCATACAAAAAAGGGGCTTTTCGACCACTTTTCGACTGGTTTGCGATTATAATTTGCACTTTGTCTAGACCCACAGGATTGTTTATTTATTTATTTATAACATGAAACAGTTAAATATTTTTACCCGACTGCGCCAGAAGGAGGGTTATTTAATTATTATTTAATTCTCTTTACTTTTTTCGCCCTTAAATCACACTTTCTTTCTCACAATCAAGCATGAAATTTTCTTTCTTCTGACGATTTTTTTAAATAGTGATTATGTTACTGTAAAAGCTCGAATTGCAGTAAATCCTAAGATATTCCAGTAAAACCTAACATCTACCAATGTCTAATGGTAAATGTCCCAAAAGGTTTGCGATTCGAACTCTTACCACCATTTCGTTGGTAAATTTTAGGATTTACATTAACCTTCGTATACCCGCGCCAAAAAGCATTACACATATACCCGCGCACGGTCTCTCAGACCGAAAGTTGAGCTCGTGTTTTATAGTTTAATTGTGTACTGTATTGTACTATAATTTGCTTTAAATTATACGTTAAGGTTATAATTGCATAAATAAATTAAAACAAATTTTATATTTATAGATGTTTTGATTTAATCAGCCTTTAAATCAGACTTAAAATTTAAACAAAATTTTATATCAGCCTAAATTTAATAACATAAATAAACTTTTTTTCTTTTGAAGCCTAAAAAATTACTATAAAATATAATTAATGGAAGTATCCTTAGTAATATAAAAGAACAAAACAGTATTTATCGCTAGTGGTTTCAGTGGAATAATAACCGGAACATACCATAACTGCATGCTCGTATAGTGACAAAAATACTTATTGCATCTGACAAATCACCCTTCTGCTCAGAATCGGTGTTGTTCTCCTGCACTTCTAAATCATCCACCACCTCATCACTGTCACTCTGGTCATCATAGTTGGAGTCCGAATCTTCACATTCTAACAGCGCCCTTTATCCTTTCTTCGTTCATTATGACGACAAAAATGGCTAAAACAAATTAATAATAATAAAATACAGTAATACCTAATTGATATGAAACGCCACTAAAATATGACAATACATTTTATTGAGTAATATTGTAAAATAAAACAATAGTAACATACCTGAAGTAGAAACACGTATACCCGCGTCGGTCTCACAGACCGAATAACAGTAAAAAGTGACACACGTACACTTGGCAGCAGCGATCGAACAACACTAAACAATGGCAGGTCACAAATCATGAAGCTACTAAAAACCGCAAAGTCATAGAGTTAATACTTTTTGAAAAAACTCCGAATTATCAGTTCGTCGGTCTGAGAGACCAACGCGCGGGTATAGGAAGGTTAATGGCACGGTAAATTTTGAAAAACAAAACATGTCATAACGTGCTCAGCGCATCTCATCATCATCATCATCATCAGAAATTACTTCAATTGGAAAAAATCGAATCTATCTTAATATTGAAGTTGCCCTCTTTGTATTTCTAGTCGCTCACTAAGTAATGTAGTCGCACGGACAGAATTTTAATATCTAAAATGGATTAAACATAACCCACTTTTTGTAAGCTCGTTCTGCATTTGATTATATTAATCAATATTCGTCGTTAGTTAAGTTAATTTTTCGCTTACTCAAATTCATACCGCTCAAGTTATTAAAACAGTAAGTAGGTATGCCATCATCAGTCGCAAGTTATTTTTTAGTCGATGGTGTTATAATTCCCCATTAAGAATTAAGTACTCATTGTTTTATTCCTAAAACCAACATCTACCAGCTGACAGAGGTAAAACCTAGCATATACTGAATTCGAATGGTAAAAGCTCGAAAAAATCGTCGTATTTTCAGAAATACTTACATTTACCAACTCATATCGGTAAATCCTAAAACTTACACTTAAATCTTAAGATTAACCGTAGTTCGAGCTTTTACAGTATAGCCTGACCAGGAACATAAAAACCCTCGCCATGTTGCGGAAAACTAATGGTACTAATTTCTTTTAATGGCAACAGTAACTGAAAACTTCATTGACATGTCACCTTGCATGTCAGTCTATTGCTGTCAAAGTGTAAACAAAGTTTATTTTAAATGTGCGCAATTGGTTTTATGAATTAAATTGCTAAAATATTTTTATAGTCGTGAAAGAAAAGTGGTTCACAATGTGTTAAAGTATTTGTCGAAGAGAAATACTAAGGGTTTGGACAATATTTTCATTGAATAATGTTTCTGACAAAGGTTGTCAAATTGATTGACATGTTTATCGTATAGTACAGTCCACTATGAAAATTTGCTGTGGTTTGTTTCAACTACCTATTTTAAAAAAATTTGTTCTTTCTAAGTGTTGAATTTTATGGGATTGGGAAAGAAGTACCGAGTTTGAAGCGTTCATGAGCAGACATTGCAGTTGAATATTCAAGTTCTGAATTTGATTATTGATGAATAATAAAATAAATTCTACTAGCTCGATTGATGGTTTCATTTAATTTATTTAAATCAGGTTACCTATAATAATATTTTTTCGTTAATTTATGAAAATATCAAATTAGCCCGTAATCCTGAATCCTGATACATAAAGTTAGCCTATTAATTTAACACAGGTACGACTGTACTCAGTGTTGCACTATCAAATGCAATTGACGCGCCACTATGCCAGGGTTTTTATGTTCCTGGTCAGGCTATAACAATTATATCAATCAAAGTTCCAACAATATAATAATTATTTGAATAGCAATTGAAATATATCGAGTTGATTTAGTACAACCCTAAAAATACTGGCAGCTAATATATTGTCTACTAGCGGCCGCCCGCGACTTCGTGCGCGTGGATCTCGTTTTACCCCCCCTTCATCTATCTTACGCGGGTCAGATTTTTTCATACAAATGTTTTTTCCCGCTAACTCCCGTTCCCGTGAGAATTTTGCAATATCCTGTTGTAACTAAGCTTTAAGTTTACTAAGGTACCTGCATGCCAAATTTCAAGAGTCTATCTTACGCGGTTTAGATTTTTTCATACAAATGTTTTTTCCCGCTAACTCCCGTTCCCGTGGGAATTTTGCAATATCCTGTTGTAACTAAGCTTTAAGTTTACTAAGGTACCTGCATGCCAAATTTCAAGCGTCTATCTTACGCGGTTTAGATTTTTTCATACAAATGTTTTTTCCCGCTAACTCCCGTTCCCGTGGGAATTTTGCAATATCCTGTTGTAACTAAGCTTTAAGTTTACTAAGGTACCTGCATGCCAAATTTCAAGCGTCTATCTTACGCGGTTTAGATTTTTTCATACAAATGTTTTTTCCCGCTAACTCCCGTTCCCGTGGGAATTTTGCAATATCCTGTTGTAACTAAGCTTTAAGTTTACTAAGGTACCTGCATGCCAAATTTCAAGCGTCTATCTTACGCGGTTTAGATTTTTTCATACAAATGTTTTTTCCCGCTAACTCCCGTTCCCGTGGGAATTTTGCAATATCCTGTTGTAACTAAGCTTTAAGTTTACTAAGGTACCTGCATGCCAAATTTCAAGCGTCTATCTTACGCGGTTTAGATTTTTTCATACAAATGTTTTTTCCCGCTAACTCCCGTTCCCGTGGGAATTTTGCAATATCCTGTTGTAACTAAGCTTTAAGTTTACTAAGGTACCTGCATGCCAAATTTCAAGAGTCTATCTTACGCGGTTTAGATTTTTTCATACAAATGTTTTTTCCCGCTAACTCCCGTTCCCGTGAGAATTTTGCAATATCCTGTTGTAACTAAGCTTTAAGTTTACTAAGGTACCTGCATGCCAAATTTCAAGAGTCTATCTTACGCGGTTTAGATTTTTTCATACAAATGTTTTTTCCCACTAACTCCCGTTCCCATGGGAATTTTGCAATATCCTGTTGTAACTAAGCTTTAAGTTTACTAAGGTACTTGCATGCCAAATTTCAAGCGTCTAACTTAAGCGGTTTAGATTTTTCGTACAAAAGGATTTTCCCGCTAATTCCCGTTCCCGTGGGAATTCCTAAGTATCCTATAACCTGCCCAGGAGTATGAAGAATAATTGTACCAAGTTTCGTTAAAATCCGTCAAGTGGTTTTTGTTTCTATAAGGAACATACAGACAGACAGACAGACAGACAGACAGACAGACAGACAGACAGACAGACAGACAGACAAAAATTTTACTGATTGCATTTTTGGCATCAGTATCGATCACTAATCATCCCCTGATAGTTATTTTGAAAATATATTTCATGTACAGAATTGACCTCTCTACAGATTTATTATAAGTATAGATGAAAAGTAAATACGAACGTAAATAGATTTAGAGAGAGATAGAGAATAACTTTATTTAATTTATTTGTAAATTATATATTAATGCAATAATTCTTTCAATGCCAATTTAATTAATCCTTTATTTTAAAGCATCTATTTAGGCTCTTGACAATACATAATCAAATGAATTCGTAAAACGCTAATAAAATGTATTGCTTGTGTGAAAAGGACAGCTATATCTATTGTTGATTGACAACTGAACTGTCATTCAGTCATTCATTTCTCAATTCTCAATATGGCCGATAAGTAGTTTATCTAAATACGGACCGTAATAATTGTGCGCGAATTTAATTTGTTATTACCTAAGATATTTATTTTGATGACTTAATAAGTGAAGTGCTGCGGCATGTTTCCGCTAACGCCGCCCGTTGTGAAACGACTTTTAGGGTGGAAAAAGGGTCCTGAGGGATCTTCCGCCGAAGATAAGTGGTCTGAAAAGGCTGTAAAGAGTCTAGTTAAAAAATTGAAGAAAAGTGGAGCTCTAGAGGAATTGGAGAGAGCAATTTCAAGCCAGAATAGTCATACTCGATGCGTTACGATTCCCAGGTTAGTTTTTATTATTGATCTTTGTGATAACAATAATAATTTGCAGAATGTGACATTTCCGGTCTCCTGCAGAATATGATTGTGACTTGCTTATCCGTATATCCGTATTTTCTGGGAGATAAGAGCTATTTCGCCTTGTTTTTGTGGCTAGAGCACATTCGTCGAACACGTTCGGAAACTCTTATTTTTGGTGTTGGTCCTTTGATTTTCATTAATTAATAATCTTGTTTAATGATAAACTTTGCGGTTTATGAGTAAAATACACTTTTACCTCAAGTTATTTGTTATAGGCAGTTTCCAAATAGTCCTAGTGTCTTCGTTCGGAAATGAACTTAACGTCAATATAACCCGACCAAACGTCATAGTCGTGCAAGTTTATTGACCTCAAAGGCGGTACCGACCGTCGCATTTTGGTTGCGCAACCGTAGACGGACGCAAATTTGGAAAGGTCAAATCGCCGTCACAACAAATCGAAGCATTTTGCCAAAATGGCCGCACTGTTTAGTACTTTGCGATTTTTTAGATACTATTTTTAACGCGATTTGAACATCAACAAAGGACGTTTTGTGTGTGTTGCACTCTTTTCGTGTTGCCATCAGAACATTAGTGTTCTTTTGTCCTTCAAGCAATTTTGGCCAAGGAAATCTGGTATGTAAGGTTTGCTGTTCATAACTAATTTATGCAATAAAACACCGTTTTTTGCGGTAAATGCGCATGTTATGGGCAGTGTTTTAATTTGATTCCAATAAGATTCCTATTAGATCCATTTTCGGGCCACTGTCGTCCTGTTATTGTCTATTTCATTGTTGCAAAAATTAAGATTAACTTCAGTTAATTTTCAATTAAGTATTTCATTAAATTAACCTTTAGAAAAGATTTTCAAATACAATTGTTATGGGATAATAAATTCCATAAAGCAGTGACCCCAAAAATACTACTAAAACAGCTGATTTACTTAGTATCTTTATTCACAATAAAAGTTTTTTTTTTAATGAATAATGCTAACTAAATAAGTCCTTGTTTATTTTGTTAATTAGGAGACTAGCTAAACCTGAACACAGTAATTAAAAAATAATCGTTTTAATTAACTCTTTGAAGAAAATAATTTCGCCACAAGACCATAAAACTTTCATGACGTTATGGATATTGAAATAAATAAAAAATTACGTACTCGCTCACACATATCAATACCATTAAAGTATTCTCTGTCCAATCATAAGTTGTATAACTACCTAATTGTTTCTTAACATCAACCGCCAACTGGTTCATATTTAAATTAAATTATTTATTCAATACTTGAGCCCTACTTGCCCTACCAACAATTCAGGGACCATATGGGCTGATGCTGAGAAGAAGTAGCAGTTTCACCAACTGTTCTAGTGCTCACCAAAGTCGTTTCTTCGTTCCAGATTAAAGCCCAACGATAACGTTATAAACGGCCAGTACAGGAAAGGGTTGCCGCATGTTGTCTACTGCCGGCTGTGGCGTTGGCCGCAGCTTCAGGTAATTATATTTTTATTTATGTTTTTCCCTAGGTACAAAGTTTCATTTAATCGGTTTAGTAAATTAAATGATAATGGACAACAAAGTTATTGATATTCGTCAGATTGGTTTAAAAAATATGCAGGGTTCGAAAGGATAATTATCAATTATCATGATAATTATCGTGATAATAACAAATGGATAATTATCAGTAGATAATAACAAAAACATGCGGTCGTGAAAATGAACTGTATTCGAAGTTTTCGAATGTGTATTTCCGCACTTGCGTCTAGTGGTGGGCGCTAATCAACAAAAATTGTTATAAAACCTATCTACTTAGCTCCACAATATTTACCTATCTATTTTCCAAGCTTTATGTGACTAGCGATTGATAACTTGACAACAATTAGCAACCAAAAACATAAAGTAACATTTCTTATAAAACAATGACAAATATATCTTATACTTTTGATAATTATCCGATAATTATCATGAAGCGTAATTATCTTGATAATTTCCAACTCTGAAAATATGCCAAGGGGGCGTCTATTAATTACGTGAGAGACAATTTTTCAACATCTTGTTTCTTGCTGAAAAAAATTACGAATTATTTATCGAGATCCCTCTCCCCTACTTGAGATTTAGTGAGGTTTTTGTGTAGTTTGAGACTACATACTTTCATTACATTCTATGAATAAATTGAATGTATTAAGAACTTATATGGTCCCTTTTTTTATCAACTTTTTCTCCAAAAAGTTTTTTTACCAGCTTACACTAACATTTCAGAGCCACCATGAACTAAAGCCAGTCGACCACTGCGAGTACGCGTACCAGTTGAAGAAGGACGAAGTGTGCATCAACCCTTACCATTACAATAAAATCGACTCGCCTGGTGAGTAATATATGTCTTCAGTGTTTTATACATTTGGGTTAGGCTTACCTAAAAATTGATTATCGATTAATCAACAGCTCTCACCTGAAATCACTCATACCATTGGTAACACTATCAATTGATTGATAATCTATTTTTATTTAGGGCAGCTGAGTCTCTTAGGTAGTGATAACGATTACTGGTGTTTTTTGCATGGACTTTGACAGATTTTTGACGTTTGTTAAAGTAAGATGCTGCAACTCAGCCATAATCTCGAAATAGTTATGGATGTATGATTTCATTTCTGAATATAAGTTAGTATTAGAAAGAAGAGTGAGAAGCGTGACTTGAGTTTCGTCTATCGTTTCATCCACAAAGACGCGCCCCACCAATTTTTGATCGAGGGAAGCGCGGGGTGCGGGGAGTTTGATCCGAGCAATCTGTAAGGCATTATTATAGTGTGCGTGTGCACTCATGGAACATTTAGCGTGTACCGATAACACTCAAACATTAGCGGAAGAATGGTGGGGCGCGTCTTCGTGGATGAAACGATCTACATGGATGATTTGTATAGAACAAATCACGAAAAACATGGAAGACATGAAAAAAAACTTGGGTTCACATCTCCTATTTTCGTCCACTCTTTATCCGCGTCCAAACGATACATCTGTGATCTAAAGGTTCAATTTAAAAAAACTTGGGTTCACATCTCTGGTTTTCGTCCACCTCTTTATCCGCGTCCAAACGATAGATATGTGGTTTTTTTATTTTATTTTCTCAAATCAATTCAAATTTGTTTCTCTATTGCAGCCCTCCCACCGATCCTAGTCCCCCGGTGCAGGGAGAGAAAAAAACTTAGGGTCACATCTCCTGTTTTCGTCCACCTCTTAATCCGCTTCCAAACGATGGATCTGTTTTATTGTTTTTTTTTTTCAAATCAAATCAATTCAAATTTGTTTCTCTATTGCAGCCCTCCCACCGATCCTAGTTCCTCGCTACAGGGAGAGAAAAAAACTTAGGGTCACATCTCCTGTTTTCGTCCACTTTTTTTATTGCGTTCCAAAGAAAGAATCTGTTTTTTTTTTTGTTTTTTTTTTTTTCAAATCAAATCAATTCAAATTTGTTTCTCTGTTGCAGCCCTCCCACCGTTCCAAGTTCCCGCTGTGGGGAGGGAAAAAAACTTAGGGTCACATCTCCTGTTTTCGTCCACCTCTTTATCCGCTTCAAAACGATGGATCTGTTTTATTGTTATTTTTTTTAATCAAATCAAATCAATTCAAATTTGTTTCTCTATTGCAGCCCTCCCACCGATCCTAGTTCCCCGCTGCAGAGAGAGAAAAAAACTTAGGGTCACATCTCCTGTTTTCGTCCACATATTTATTCGCGTCCAAACGACAGATTTTTTTTTAATCAAATCAAATCAATTCAAATTTGTTTCTCTATTGCAGCCCTCCCACCGATCCTAGTCCCTCGCTGCGGGGAGGGAGAGGTACGCGCGCCGCCGCCCTACACCGACTATCATCACCACGAGCACACGGACGCGTGAGTTTGTGGCTTATGTACATAGCGTTAAGGTCGGATTTCCTTTGAAGATGACTGAACATTAAGGTTGGATTTCCTATGAAGATGAGTGAGATGTGTAGCGAAGCTGTAATACGAGTTTGTGGCTTATGTACATAGCAATAAGGTTGGATGTCCTATGAAGATGACTGAACATTAAGGTTGGGTATCGTTTACCGCTGCGAAGAGGGACTACAGACTCTCATCACCACGAGCACACGGACGCGTGAGTTTGTGGCTTATGTTCATAGCAATAAGGTTGGATGTCCTATGAAGATGACTAAACATTAAGGTTGGATTTCCTATGAAGATGAGTGAGATGTGTAGCGAAGCTGTAATACGAGTTTGTGGCTTATGTACATAGCAATAAGGTTGGGTGTCCTATGAAGATGATTGAACATTAAGGTTGGGTATCGTTTACCGCTGCGAAGAGGGACTACAGACTCTTATCACCACGAGCACACGGACGCGTGAGTTTGTGGCTTAAGTTCATAGCGTTAAGGTTGGATTTCCATCAAAAATGTGCATTGTGCAACGAAGATAAGTGGAGCGAGGATGTGCAAAGCTGAGACATTAAATTGGGTTTTTATGTTCATAGCATTAAGATGGGATTTTGCTAAACATTACATCACTGTCATCAACACGAGCACACGGACGCGTGAGTTTGTGGCTTATGTACATAGCAATAAGGTCGGGTTTCATTTAACCACATCGTGCTCAATAAGCAAACTTCGCGGCGCACTGTAGCAGACGAGGCGAAGAAAATCGGCTAGACTTGGACACGGACGCGTGAGTTTGTGGCTTATGCACATAGCGTTAAGGTTGGATATCGTATGCCGCTGCGTGCGTAATTATATTGCTATCGCGCTCGCACACTCGCTGTGGCCGCCCGTCGCACAGTCGCGACAGCAATATAATTACGCGCGAGCGATTAGGATTAGTAGCTTGGGGTCATTGGACGAAATTCTACGTGCTCGGCGACAGGGCTTTACCATTACCACGAGCACACGGACGCGTGAGTTTGTGTCTTACGCACATAGCGTTAAGGTTGGATTTAATTTAACCATCGCTGCTCGTGGTCGGCTTAAGATGAGTGGAGTAAAGCTGTGAAACGTTTTTGTGTCTTATGTGCATACAATTAAGGTTGGTTTTCACCTGATGGATAGTGATGATCAGACCGAAAGTGGAAGTGAGCTTCACCCGCAATCCTCAAACAGAGGATCTGGCCATTTTACCTCTGATTTCCGGATTTTCCTCTGTTGGGGGTGTTAGTTACCTGTCAAAAAAGAATAAAATGAATTAGCTGTTAGGTCTAGCTAGTCTGAGTTATGCGCTACACTCTAGCGTTCATCATCATCATCATCATCTCAGCCATAGGACGTCCACTGCTGAACATAGGCCTCCCCCAATGCTTTCCATGTTGATCGATTGGTAGCGTTGTCTTATAATAACATATGACGTGACAGAGCATATAAGTCAGAAGCACATTTGAAATCTTACTGACATTTGACGTCACAAAAACATCCCTTGCCGCTCCCATTACCTCAGGCACTGAATTAGTAAGAAAAGGGTCTTAACGCGACGTTTATTAATGAGTTACATTATGTACTCACGGCTTGAAGTTTTTTTTTCTGCTAGCCTATGCTGCACTGACTCGGAAGTAAATTTTCAGAATTCATTTATGGGAAAATGTATTAAATTCTATAATAAATTACCACAAACTGTTGTAGAACTACCCATTCATAAATTCAAAGCACATATTAAAAGTACCTTAATGAAAAAGGGCTACTATAAAGTCGATGATTATTTAAAAGATAAAAATGTTTGGGATATGTTACTGCCTAGCTCGCATAAATATTTATAACTTTGTACATTTAAAGCATGTAAACCTTTGAAAAAGAAGCTGACAATAGTGACTGAGTTTCTTGCGCTGCTTCTTCTCAGCACTGGCCCATTTATTGTCCTGAAGCAGTGGTAGGGTTAATACTGGGACTTGTAAAAGTGCTTTTTTTAAGCCTATTTACAGAAATAAATGAGTTTTATTTATATCCATTATCTAGTACTCATAGTACAAGCTTTGCTTAGTTTGGGACTAGAGGCCCAATGTAAAATGTCCGAGGATATTTATGTTTCGTTTTGCCCACAGCGTGATGCAGAGCGGCGGCGTCGTGGGCGTGGGCGTGGGAGGTCACAGCGCTATGTATCTGGAGGCCACGCTTGGACAACACGTGCCCAGCAACACCACTGTGCATGTGTGAGTATTGGGACTATTCCCACCTCTCGTTCCCACCGCTGCATCTCCTGTGTAGCCAGGATCTACAGCTTGAACGCCAATAACCCAACCAGTGAAGGTCAAGTTTGTCCCGGGGGAAAGTTAAACTGTCATTGGACGAGTTTTGATCATTCTAGCCACATATCGTCCACTGCTGCACAAAAGCCTTCCAAGGATTTCCAAAATGACTGGTCCTGAGCAAATGTAGTTCGTTAGTTCGTTTCAGCCAAATGACGTCCACTGCTGGACAAAGGCCTGCCCCAAGAATTTCCACAGTGACCGGTCCTGCGCTGCCCGTATCCAAGATTCCAGGCACCTCTCGCGACCTTCACCAGATCGTCCGTCCACCTAGTGGGGAGCCTGCCCACGTAACGTCTTCTGGCCCAGATAGAATCACCATTATCAAGAAATTTAGTCTCTGGAGCACATCCCTCTATTTGGACCGTACCGTTTCGTTCTTTTCAGCCAAATGATGTCCACTACTGGGCCTCAAAGGCCTCCCCCAGGCATTTCCATAACTACGCTTATTTCATAACTTCAACTAATTTTGAACCTTACATTATTATAGGTTTACATTCCATTTAAACAGTTTTATTTAATTAATCCGTACATATTTCCCTTGTTTGTGGCCCCACTTGGTCAAAAGCACCTTGAACCTTACATGCAGAGTTATAAAGATTATTATCGCTTGCTATAAAAGCTCATCAATGGTTTACCATCGCCGCCTCTTTGTCACATTTGGCCCTACCAAATTTGAACCTTATGTCTTTTGCATAAATATCACTATTACTTGTCGCAGGAAAGGTAGAAGATACTCCATTTTCTTCAACTAACTTTGAACCTTATGTCCAAGACTTTAAAGACCATTATCGCTTGTCACAGGAGCTCATCAACGCCCGTCTTCTCCATTTTCAACCAATTTTCGACAAATTTTCCTGAACCAATTTTGAACCTTACTATCAAAGACATTAAGATTATTATCACTCGTTACAGAAGCTCATCGGCTGTAAAAGAAACTCCGCCCCATCGCTGCATTTTCCTCAACCAAGTTTGAACCTTATCGTCAAAGACATAAATACCATTATCGCTTGATCGGTATCGGTAGAGACCCCGCCCCCTCGTGACTCATTTCGCCCAAGTAACTTTAAACCTTACCCTTTAAGTTATAAATATCATTATCGCTTGCCATAGGAGCTCATCGACGGTCGAGACCTCGCCATTTCTGCTGCATTTCCCTCAATTAACTTTAAACCCTACCCTTTAAGTCATAAATATCATTATCGCTTGTCACAGAAGCTCATCGGCTCTAAAAGAAACTCCGCCCCTTCGCTACGTTTTCCTCAACCAATTTTGAACCTTACTCTCAATAATATTAAGACCATTCTCGCTTGCTACGGGAGCTCATCAACGCCCATCTGCTCCATTTTCAACCAATTTTCCTCAACCAATTCTGAACCTTACGCACAGAGTTATAAAGACCATTGTCGCTTGCCACAGGAGCTCATTTCCTTCAACTAACTTTAAACCTTATGTTCAAGACTTTAAAGATCATTATCGCTTGTCACAGGATCTTATCAACGGTAAAAGAGTCTCCGCCTCTCTGCTACATTTTCCTCAACCAATTTTGAACCTTACTCTCAATAATATAAAGACCATTCTCGCTTGCTACGGGAGCTCATCAACGCCCGTCTTCTCCATTTTCAACCAATTTTCGACAAATTTTCCTGAACCAATTTTGAACCTTACTCTCAAAGACATTAAGATTATTATCACTCGTTACAGAAGCTCATCGGCTGTAAAAGAAACTCCGCCCCATCGCTGCATTTTCCTCAACCAAGTTTGAACCTTATCGTCAAAGACATAAATACCATTATCGCTTGATCGGTATCGGTAGAGACCCCGTGACTCATTTCGCCCAAGTAACTTTAAACTTTACCCTTTAAGTCATAAATATCATTATCGCTTGTCACAGAAGCTCATCGGCTCTAAAAGAAACTCCGCCCCTTCGCTACGTTTTCCTCAACCAATTTTGAACCTTACTCTCAATAATATTAAGACCATTCTCGCTTGCTACGGGAGCTCATCAACGCCCATCTGCTCCATTTTCAACCAATTTTCCTCAACCAATTTTGAACCTTACGTACAGAGTTATAAAGACCATTGTCGCTTGCCACAGGAGCTCATTTCCTTCAACTAACTTTAAACCTTATGTCCAAGACTTTAAAGACCATTATCGCTTACAGGAGCTCATCGACAGTCGAGACCCCGCCCCCCGGGTACATCAGCGAAGACGGCGACCCGATGGACCACAATGACAACATGAGTGAGTTTGTACACAATTTTACTGTTTGTTCATATAAAATAGACCTTATGTATTTTTAATAGGTGCGATTTTTCAACAAAAATAAGAAGTATCACAAACATTACTGTGAGGTCTCACAGTGCGCGTGGACGCACAGGGTGACACACAAACCAATCACAGAGCTCTATTCAACGCTGTTCGATTTGCTGCTTGACTTGAGCAAGCATCGTTTGTGAAGACGGGTGTTAGGTGCTGTTGGACACTAAAGCCCGGTCTGTGAGCACGTAGAATTTTGTCCAATGACCCCAAGTTACGCATCCTTATCACTGGCGCGTAATTATATTGCTGTCGCGATTGTGCGACGGGCGGCCGCAGTGAGTGTGCGAGCGCGACAGCAACATAATTAAGTGCGAGCGATAAGGATGGACAGCTTGGGGTCATTGGACGAAATTCTACGTACTCGGCGACCGCGCTTTAGTCTGTATGGAACAAAAATAAGTAATTTTTATACCGATGTTATAGGTATTTTTATCTACATTACCATGAAACCCTAACATAAAGTTAATATACCTAGCGAAATAGAGCAACAAAGAGCGAGCGAGATGTCACTAGCAACAACACTTTGTGATAAAAAGAGATGCGTGATGCCGTCGCCGTCACGTCAAACATAACCGTTTTTTGCAACTATTTGACAGTTCGAAGGAACTTAATGGCACGCTGAAAATTTGAACTCTCTCAGAGTTTATGTGAGTGAAATCTTGAATGTTTATCAGAAATAGTGCTTCAGAAACATGCTGACTGGTTCAGTGATTGATAAAATGTAATTGGTACAAAACATAAAAAATAATCCTGACACTCGCACACAAATGATATATCCAGTGTTTAATTTTGTTTTGAGCTGTTTTATGTAGCTAAATGGTTTAAAATAACAATCATTATTTCAACCATTTGCTCAAGATATTGAAACGTAATTCCGATTATTACCAGAGTAAATACAAATGAGTAGGTCTTCATAGAAACACACCGAGCGCGGTTTGTATGTGAGTACACACTGACAAAATTTAGCGGGAAGTTGCGTGGGAGTGTATGCGTGCGCGCCGCATACGTATTGGCGCGCTCACATACAAACCGCGCTCGGTGCGTTTCTATGAAGATGACCTTACTCATTTGTATTTACTCTGTTATTACGCTTGACTTTTCGATTTTTACGTTATTCTACTTACTATTTCAGACCTAACCCGCTTAACTCCCTCCCCGCCGCATCTGGCGGCCGAGGCGGCGCCGGTGCTGTACCACGAGCCGGCCTTCTGGTGCAGCATCAGCTACTACGAGCTCAACACGCGCGTCGGGGAGACCTTCCACGCCTCGCAGCCCTCCATCACCGTCGACGGGTTCACCGACCCCAGCAACAGCGAGAGGTGACGTCACGACGCTTTACAGCGAATTTGAGACGAGAAACAGCTGACTAACGAGTGATTTCGAGCTTTTGGGGTTGATGAACTGGGTTTATTTTACGTTTAGACAGCTAAAATCACTTAAAAAGTGACGTCACAACTTTTTGGAGCAAATTTCAGACAAAAAACAGATGACTATCAGCTGTTTTCGAACGCTTGGGGTCATTGAACTGCGTTCATTTGCTCTTTTGACAGCTCAAATGACCCCAAAAACTTTTTAGGCGTAATTTGAGACGAGAAACAGATGACTATCAGCTGTTTTCGAACGTTTGAGGTTGTTGAACTTCGTTCATTTGCTCTTTTGACAGCTGAGATGACCCCAAAAACTTTTTAAGTGTAATTTGAGACGAGAAACAGATGACTGTCGAGTAATTTAGAACACTTCGGGTCGTTAAACTTCTTTTGTTTACCTTATTGTCAATTTTATAGTGACTCCAAAGATGTTGAAAGTGACGTCACAACTTTTTAGGGCGGTTTTGCGACAAAAACCAAATGAGTGTCGGTGATTTCGAACGTTCTGGTTGATTGAACCTCCTGCAAGCCTCGACGCCCCCTCCCCGCCGCACTGGCGGCCGAGGCGGCGCCGGTGCTGTACCACGAGCCGGCCTTCTGGTGCAGCATCAGCTACTACGAGCTCAACACGCGCGTCGGGGAGACCTTCCACGCCTCGCAGCCCTCCATCACCGTCGACGGGTTCACCGACCCCAGCAACAGCGAGAGGTGACGTCACCACGTTTTACAGCGAATTTGAGACGGAAAACAGCTGACTATCGACTGATTTCGAACGCTCATTTGCTCTTTTGACAGCTAAAATGATCCCAAAAGTGACGTCACCATTTTTTGGAGTGAATTTCAGACAAAAATCAGATGACTATCAGCTGTTTTCGAACGCTTGGGGTCATTGAACTGCGTTCATTTGCTCTTTTGACAGCTAAGATGACCCCAAAAACTTTTTAGGTGTGTTTTGAGATGAGAAACAGGTCACTGTCGACTGATTTCGAACGCTGAGGGTCGTTGAACTTCGTTCATTTGCTCTTTTGACAGCTACGGTGACCCCAAAGAAGGTGTGTGTATGACGTCACGACATTTTAGGGATGTTTCGCGGCAAAAAAACAGATGACTGTCGGTGATTTCGAACACTTCGGGTCGTTGAGCTTCTTTTGTTTACCTTTTGACAATTTTATAGTGACTAAAAAGATGTTGAAAGTGACGTCACAACTTTTTAGGGCGGTTTTGCGACAAAAAACAAGTGACTGTCAATGATTTCGAACGTTCTGGTTGATTGAACCTCCTGCAAGCCTCGACGCCCCCTCCCCGCCGCACTGGCGGCCGAGGCGGCGCCGGTGCTGTACCACGAGCCGGCCTTCTGGTGCAGCATCAGCTACTACGAGCTCAACACGCGCGTCGGGGAGACCTTCCACGCCTCGCAGCCCTCCATCACCGTCGACGGGTTCACCGACCCCAGCAACAGCGAGAGGTGACGTCACGACGTTTTACAGCGAATTTGAGACGAGAAACAGCTGACTGTAGACTGATTTCAAGCTTTTGGGGTTGATGAACTGCGTTTATTTGACGTTTAGACAGCTAAAATCACTTAAAAAGTGACGTCACAACTTTTTAGAGCGAATTTCAGACGAAAAACAGGTGACTATCAGCTGTTTTCGAACGCTAAAGGTCGTTGAACTTCGTTCATTTGCTCTTTTGACAGCTCAGATGACCCCAAAAACTTTTTAGGTGTAATTTCAGACGAAAAACAGGTGACTATCAGCTGTTTTCGAACGCTAAAGGTCATTGAACTGCGTTCATTTGCTCTTTTGAGAGCTACGGTGACCCCAAAGATGGTCTGTGTATGACGTCACGACGTTTTAGGGATGTTTCGCGGCAAAAAAACAGATGACTGTCGGTGATTTCGAACACTTCGGGTCGTTGAACTTCTTTGTTTACCTTTTTGACAATTTTATAGCGACTCCAAAGATGTTGAAAGTGACGTCACAACTTTTTAGGGCGGTTTTGCGACAAAAAAACAAATGACTGTCGGTGATTTCGAACGTTCTGGTTGATTGAACCTCCTGCAAGCCTCGACGCCCCCTCCCCGCCGCACTGGCGGCCGAGGCGGCGCCGGTGCTGTACCACGAGCCGGCCTTCTGGTGCAGCATCAGCTACTACGAGCTCAACACGCGCGTCGGGGAGACCTTCCACGCCTCGCAGCCCTCCATCACCGTCGACGGGTTCACCGACCCCAGCAACAGCGAGAGGTGACGTCACCACGTTTTACAGCGAACTTGAGACGGAAAACAGCTGACTGTAGACTGATTTCGAGCGATTGGGGACGATGAACTGCGTTTATTTGAGGTTTAGACAGCTAAAATCACTTAAAAAGTGACGTCACAACTTTTTACGGCGCATTTGAGAAGAAAAACAGGTGACTACCGGCTGATTTCGAACGCTAAAGGTCGTTGAACTTCGTTCATTTGCTCTTTTGACAGCTCTGATGACCCCAAAAACATTTTTGGTGTAATTTGAGACGAGAAACAGGTGACTATCGACTGATTTCGAACGCTAAGGGTCGTTGAACTTCGTTCATTTGCTCTTTTGACAGCTACGGTGACCCCAATGATGGTTTGTGTATGACGTCACGACGTTTTAGGGATGTTTTGCAGCAAAAAACAGATGACTGTCGGTGATTTCGAACACTTCGGGTCGTTGAACTTCTTTTGTTTACCTTTTTGACAATTTTATAGTGACCCCATAGACGTTGATAGTAACGTCACAACTTTTTAGGGCGGTTTTGCGACAAAAAACAAGTGTCTGTCGACGATTTCGAACGTTCTGGTTGATTGAACCTCCTGCAAGCCTCGACGCCCCCTCCCCGCCGCACTGGCGGCCGAGGCGGCGCCGGTGCTGTACCACGAGCCGGCCTTCTGGTGCAGCATCAGCTACTACGAGCTCAACACGCGCGTCGGGGAGACCTTCCACGCCTCGCAGCCCTCCATCACCGTCGACGGGTTCACCGACCCCAGCAACAGCGAGAGGTGACGTCACCACGTTTTACAGCGAATTTGAGACGAGAAACAGCTGACTGTAGACTGATTTCGAACGATTGGGGACGATGAACTGCGTTTATTTGACCTTTCGGCAGCTAAAATTACTTAAAAAGTGACGTCACAACTTTTTAGAGACAAAAAACAAATGACTATCAGCTGTTTTCGAACGTTTCGGGTTGATGAACTGCGTTTATTTGACCTTTCGACAGCTAAAATCACCTCAAAAGTGACGTCACAACTTTTTGGAGCGAATTTCAGACGAAAAACAGATGACTATCAGCTGTTTTCGAACGATAAGGGTTAATGAACTTCGTTCATTTGCTCTTTTGACAGCTCTGATGACCCCAAAAAACTTTTTAGAGCTGATTTGAGACCGCTTAGGGTCATTGAACTTCGTTCATTTGCTCTTTTGACAGCTACGGTAACCCCAAAGATGGTCTGTGTATGACGTCACGACATTTAGGGATGTTTCGCGGCTAAAAAACAGATGACTGTCGATGATTTCGAATGCTCCGGGTCATGGAACTTCTTTTGTTTACCTTTTTGTCAATTTTATAGTGACCCCAAAGACGTTGATAGTGACGTCACAACTTTTTAGGGCGGTATTGCGATAAAAAAACAAGTGACTGTCGACGATTTCGAACGTTCTGGTTGATTGAACCTCCTGCAAGCCTCGACGCCCCCTCCCCGCCGCACTGGCGGCCGAGGCGGCGCCGGTGCTGTACCACGAGCCGGCCTTCTGGTGCAGCATCAGCTACTACGAGCTCAACACGCGCGTCGGGGAGACCTTCCACGCCTCGCAGCCCTCCATCACCGTCGACGGGTTCACCGACCCCAGCAACAGCGAGAGGTGACGTCACGACGCTTTACAGCGAACTTGAGACGAGAAACAGCTGACTGTAGACTGATTTCGGACGCTCGGGGTCTTTGAACTGTGTTTATTTGACCATTTGGCAGCTAAAATCACTTAAAAAGTGACGTCACAACTTTTTAGACCGAATTTTAGACTAAAAACAGTTGACTATCAGCTGTTTTCGAACGATAAGGGTCGTTGAACTTCGTTCATTTGCTCTTTTGACAGTTCAGATGACCCCAAGAGACGAGAAACAGATGACTGTCGACAGATTTTGGACGCTCGGGATCAATGACCTTCGATTATTTAACCTTTCGACAGCAAAAATCACCTCAAAAGTGACGTCACAACTTTTTAGAGCGAATTTGCGACGAAAAACAGCTGACTGTCTACAGATTTCGAACGCTGAGGGTCTCTGAACTTCGTTCATTTGCTCTTTTGACAGCTACGGTGACCCCAAAGATGGTCTGTGTATGACGTCATAAGTTTTTAGGGCGTTTTTGCGACAAAAATCAAATTACTGTCGACGATTTCGAACGTTCTGGTTGATTGAACCTCCTGCAAGCCTCGACGCCCCCTCCCCGCCGCACTGGCGGCCGAGGCGGCGCCGGTGCTGTACCACGAGCCGGCCTTCTGGTGCAGCATCAGCTACTACGAGCTCAACACGCGCGTCGGGGAGACCTTCCACGCCTCGCAGCCCTCCATCACCGTCGACGGGTTCACCGACCCCAGCAACAGCGAGAGGTGACGTCACCACGTTTTACAGCGAATTTGAGACGAGAAACAGCTGACTATCGGTGATTTAGAACGCTCGGGATCGATGACCTTCGATTATTTGACCTTTCAGAAGCTAAAATCACTAAAAAAGTGACGTCACAACTTTTTGGAACGAACTTGAGACGAAAAACAGCTCACTATCAGCTGTTTTCGAACGTTTGGGGTTGATGAACTTCGTTCATTTGCTCTTTTGACAGCTCAGATGACCCCAAAAACTTTTTAGGCGTGATTTGAGACGAGAAACAGATGACTGTTGAGTAATTTAGAACACTTCGGGTCGTTCAACTTCGTTCATTTGCTCTTTTGACAGCTACGGTGACTCCAAAGATGGTCTGTGTATGACGTCACGACGTTTTAGGGATGTTTCGCCGCAAAAAAACAGATGACTGTCGGTGATTTAGAACACTTCGGGTTGTTGAACTTCTTTTGTTTACCTTTTTGTCAATTTCGTAGTGACCCCTAAGACAATGATAGTGACGTCACAACTTTTTAGGGCGGTTTTGCGATAAAAAAACAAATGACTGTCGACGATTTCGAACGTTCTGGTTGATTGAACCTCCTGCAAGCCTCGACGCCCCCTCCCCGCCGCACTGGCGGCCGAGGCGGCGCCGGTGCTGTACCACGAGCCGGCCTTCTGGTGCAGCATCAGCTACTACGAGCTCAACACGCGCGTCGGGGAGACCTTCCACGCCTCGCAGCCCTCCATCACCGTCGACGGGTTCACCGACCCCAGCAACAGCGAGAGGTGACGTCACCACGTTTTACAGCGAACTTGAGACGAGAAACAGCTGACTAACGAGAGTTTTCGAACGCTCGGGGTCTTTGAACTGCGTTTATTTGCTCTTTTGACAGCTTAGATGACCCCAAAAACTTTATAGGGCTGATTTGCGACAAAAAACAGGTGACTATCAGCTGTTTTCGAACGTTTGGGGTTGATGAACTGCGTTTATTTGACCTTTCGACAGCTAAAATCACCTCAAAAGTGACGTCACAACTTTTTGGAGCGAATTTCAAACGAAAAACAGATGACTATCAGCTGTTTTCGAACGATAAGGGTTAATGAACTTCGTTCATTTGCTCTTTTGACAGCTCTGATGACCCCAAAAATTTTTAGGTGTAATTTGAGACGAGAAACAGCTGACTGTCCACTGACTTCGAACGCTTGGGGTCGTTGAACTTCGTTCATTTGCTCTTTTGACAGCTACGGTGACCCCAAAGATGGTCTGTGTATGACGTCACGACGTTTTAGGGATGTTTTGCGACAAAAAACAGTTTGCGACAAAAAACAGATGACTGTCGGCGATTTCGAACACATCGGGTCGATGAACTTCTTTTATTTACCTTTTTGACAATTTTATAGTGACTCCAAAGACGATGATAGTGACGTCATAACTTTCTGGGTCTGATTTGCGACAAAAACCAAATGACAGTCGGTGATTTCGAATATAACCTTTCGACAGCTAAAATCACCTCAAAAGTGACGTCACAACTTTTTGGAGCAAATTTCAGACAGAAAACAGATGACTATCAGCTGTTTTCGAACGTTTGGGGTTGATGAACTTCGTTCATTTGCTCTTTTGACAGCTCAGATGACCCCAAAAACTTTTTAGGTGTAATTTGAGACGAGAAAGAGATGACTGTCGACTAATTTCGGACGATAAGGGGTCATTGAACTGCGTTCATTTGCTCTTTTGACAGCTACGGTGACCCCTAAAACTTTTTAGGGCTGTTTTGAGACAAGAAACAATTGACTGTGGAGTAATTTAGAACACTTCGGTGACGTCACACACTGGTTCAAGAAATGATAAAAATGGAATTAGCGATTTGTTCACTTTTTTTGATGGTATCATGTGTAGAATGTCATAAAAAACGTTTTGTTTAAGTTCTATTTTTCTGAGAAATGCGTAGTTTTTGCTATATTACATGTTTTGTGTTTTATTTGTATGAAACGTTTCCTTCACGAGGCTCTTATTCAAAATGTTAAAGTTTGTTAGATATGACTACTTATAGGTTTTAAAGAGTCATACTAATAGAAGCTAATACAGTAACAACTTTGTCCCAGTGCGTCCCCGTTTAGGATATAAGTGATATTTTTTAAGGTACGAAAAAGTAATAATAATAAATACACTTTATTGCACACCAAACAAATAACATAACAGAAGAAAAGGAACACATAAGGTACAATTAGGCGGTCTTATCGCTATGAAGCGATCTCTTCCAGACAACCTATGGTGAGGACAGTTACTTGAAACAAATATGAAGGGGAAGGCGGTGTCGACACTAAAGAAATAAATTATAAAGTAAACAAAATATATGGATATAAGGCAACTTTATGATAATTTATTGATTTTCTAAAATAAAAAGAAGCTAACAATCATTCCAATCTTAATCATTTATTATACAACATCATCATCAACATCTATAAATTCAAAAGTTTCATCGTTATTTGAAGCTAGTAAATTTTTAACTTCATTAGGAAGAAGAGATTTTGACTCACACTCGTTTTTGGTCTTAATGTTGACAAAAAAGGATCCGAAGAAATAAGTAAATTATTTAAAATATCACGATTGGTCACTTTTCGGTTAAATTTACGCGTATGATTCTCTCTATCTTTCTAAAATCTTTATTCCGCGATTCTGTAGCTTCTTCTGATAGTGCTCCTATTGGCATAATATCTAAGTGCAAAGCAAAACCAACTGACATGAATCATTAATTTAACAAAATTAAAACAAAGATCTTTAAGTAGGATCGATATGTAGGTACAAGTATGGCCTATCTTCATTGCATGCATGGATACGGGCTATGGAGACTATATTACACATTACTTATAGACTAGAATTTAAAACTTGGACAGCAAGAGGAAATAAAAAAAATGCAAATAATGGAGAAACGAACAGCTGAAATACAAAAACGGTTTCGCGATGAACCTGGATTGCTAATAGATATTGTGCAGCAAGGGGCTGGAACAATAAACAACGGAAATATTGCGCGTAGATTTTTTGCAGATCCAGAAAAAACATCCAACATCACTGGAGTTAGTCAAGATCTGATTCCTAGATTGTCTGTATTATTAAGGGCTATGGCTTCCGGTGAGTAATAAACCCCCAAAACTTCACTCAATTTACTTAGATATTATGCCAATAGGAGCACTATCGGAAGAAGTTGCAGAATCGCGGAATAAAGATCAGAGAGAATCATACGCGTAAATTTAACCGAAAAGTGACCAATCGTGATATTTTAAATAATATACTTATTTCTTCGGATCCTTTTTTGTCAACAATAAGACCAAAAATGAGTGTGAGTCAAAATCTCCTCTTCCTAATGAAGTTAAAAATTTACTAGCTTCAAATAATGATGAAACTTTTGAATTTATAAATGTTGATGATGATGTTGAATAATAAATGATTAAGATTGGAATGATTGTTAGTTTCTTTTTATTTTAGAAAATCAATAAATTATCATAAAGTTGCCTTATATCCATATATTTTGTTTACTTTTTCGTAACTTAGAAAATATCACTTATATCCTAAACGGGGACGCACTGGGACAAAGTTGTTACTGTATTAGCTTCTATTAGTATGACTCTTTAAAACCTATCAGTAGTCATATCTAACAAACTTTAACATTTTGAATAAGAGCCTCGTGAAGGAAACGTTTCATACAAATAAAACACAAAACATGTAATATAGCAAAAACTACGCATTTCTCAGAAAAATAGAACTTAAACAAAACGTTTTTTATGACATTCTACACATGATACCATCGAAAAAAGTGAATAAATCGCTAATTCCATTTTTATCGTTTCTTGAACCAGTGTGCGTCACGACGTTTCAGAGCGAATTTGAGACGAAAAACAGCTGACTGTAGACTGATTTTGAACGATTGGGGACGATGAACTGGGTTTATTTGACGTTTAGACAGCTAAAATCACTCAAAAAGTGACGTCACAACTTTTTAGAGCGAATTTGAGAAGAAAACCAGGTGACTGTCGACTGATTTTGAATGCTAGGGGTCGTTGAACTTCGATTATTTGACCTTTTGGCAGCTAAACATCACCTCAAAAGTGACGTCACAACTTTTTATGGCTGATTTGCGTCAAAAAACGGATGACTTTCGAGTAATTTAGAACACTTGGATTCGTTAAACTTCTTTCATTTATCCCTTTCACGGCTATGGTGACTCCAAAGACGGTGTAAGTATGACGTCAAGACTTTAGAGCTGACTTTAGTCGAGAAACAGATGTCTGTCGAATGATATCGAAACGTTTGGGTTCATTGAACTTCGTTTATTTGACCTTTTGACAGCTAAAATGACCTCAACGTTATTCTGTTTCAGGTTCTGTCTGGGTTTGCTGTCGAATGTGAATAGAAACGAAGTTGTCGAGCAAACGCGTCGACATATTGGGAAAGGAGTCAGATTGTATTATATTGGAGGTACGTAAAATATAGTGCAACACAAAAGCCATGGATATACTTATAGATAGTTTCATCCACGAAGACGCGCCCCACCATTTTTGGTCTCGGTCGCGCGGGGTGCGGGGAGTGTGGTCCGAGCAATCCGAGCGGCATTATTGTAGCGTGCGTGTGCACTCATGGATCATTTAGCGTGTACCGATAACACTCAAACATTGGCGGAAGAATGGTGGGGCGCGTCTTCGCGAATGAAACCATCTATACATTTTCAACCGACTTCAAAAAAGGAGGAGGTTCTCAATTCGACCCGTATGTTTTTTTTTTCTATGTTTGTTACGCGATAACTCCGCCAATTATGAACCGATTTGAACAAATCTTTTTTCGGCGTATTGGTAATACCTCAAGGGTGGTCCCATTTAAATTTAATAATGGGTGGAAAATTGGGGATGAACTTTTTTATACGCAATATCTCCGCCGATTATAAATCAATTTGAACGATTATTTGTTTCATGCGAATTTGAAGAAAATATTTCACCCCCAAGGGTAGAACTTTTTTTAATTTTTAGTATTTTTTGTGTTCACGCATTTGAAGTCGGTTTTTTTTTATAAGTTAATTATTTCATTTATTCCTTGATGTTCGTACGTTTAAACTGAAGATTAATTAAGTAGCAAACAATACCTTATTATACTATTAAGTCCTAAGTTCGCTTTAAGTACCAATTTATGCTTAAATAGTAAAAATATGTGCCAATTCTTATTTCAGGTGAAGTGTTCGCCGAGTGCCTGAGCGATTCTTCAATTTTCGTTCAGAGTCCGAACTGCAACCAGCGCTACGGCTGGCATCCGGCCACCGTCTGCAAGATACCGCCCGGTAAGTGGACAATATGTTGTTTGAATCGTATATCGTCGTTCATATTGCAATTTGTTCTATGTACCTTGTACCTTGTGTGTTCCTTCTGTTATGTTATTTGTTTGGTGTGCAATAAAGTGTATTTATTATTATTGTTACGTTTTCTTTATTTTTACTCGAAGTCCCTATGGTCTTCGGTTTTAACCATAACTCACGGGCTCATGCCAAGTGAGTTAAGTTTTCAGAATTGATAGCGGAGTTGGAGTCGTCCTGCATGAACTTTCTGACGATACGACAGGTGTTGAGAATCGCAGCCTTTTGCATAGTCATATAAATATTTTCTTTAATGTCTAAATTGCGTAGGGCAGTTAGCAAGTGGTTTGGGATGACACCCGTGCTGGAGAGCACCAACGGTATAATGTATACTTTTTCCATTTTCCATATTTTCAAAATTTCTTCTTTAAGCTCGGTATATTTATGTATTTTTTCTGTTATGGTTTTATGCAAATTGTGTGTGTTGGGAACGGCTATGTCTATAATATGTACTGTTTTATTTTGTTTGTCAATTAAGGTGATATCTGGTCTATTATTGTGTATAGTTCGATCGGTAAGTATGGCACGGTCAAAGTATATCTTGCAGGTGCTGCTCTCCAGCACTGGCTTTGGGCTGTATTGGTAATATGGCAGTGGTTTTCCGGCTAAAAGTTTATGTTTGAATGCTAGCTTCTGGTGTATAATGTTGCAAATTTGGTTATGACGATGGGTGTAATCTGTTTGAGTTAAATTTGGGCAAGCACTTGTGATGTGTTGGATTGTTTCCGACTGTCGGTTGCATTTGCGGCATTTATCAGTGGTAAGGTTTTTGTCTTTTATAATGTATTTTCTGTAGTTGCGGGTATTTATGACTTGATCCTGAATTGCTATCATAAAACCTTCAGTTTCAGGAAAAAGAGCGCCTAGTTTTAACCACTTGTTGGAAGCAATACTATTTATGTGAGGTTGTTCAAGGTCGTGACGATGTCTACCGTGCAGTTCTTTCCGGCGCCATGCTGCTAGTTTATCCGCTTCTTGTTGTTTTTTGCTTAAAAACTCTTATTATTATTATGTCAAAAATTACAAGTTTACAGGACAGTAAAAAAACAGCGTAGGTACTTACGGGAAAAAATCATTTAAGACACCAAAATGTTTTTAACTAATGTTTCCTAAGCAGTTTGTTCTTTTTAATATAAATAATTATAAAAGTCTCCATAAATAATTTATAATTATATTTAGTTTTTTTTTTTTTTTTTAATTTTTTGACATTGAACAAATTGCAATATGAACGACGATATGCGGCCACCAGTTGGCGCCACTGGCCTAATTCGCGTATTTTGTCAGTCAAGATTTCGCTGACGTTCAGAAGTCGTCCCATTGAAAAACAGTTCTAAATCCGTATTCACAAGGGTCATTTGGATAGAACGATTACTCGATAGGATAGGCTACATGTCTTGTTTAAGGCCTATTCAAACCTGAGCGATATTCGCTGCCGCTGTGGGTAGAGGTACATACCACGCGGGTTTCGCTCAGGTATTTAGTATCAAGTACCGCGGCTAGAGCGTTTTCTCTGCCGCAGACGGTAGCGAATACCGCTTAGGTCTGAATAGTATTATTACCGCATACCCACTGGGTTTTCTCTGCCGCAGACGGTAGCGAATACCGCTTAGGTCTGAATAGTATTATTACCGCATACCCACTGGGTTTTCTCTGCCGCAGACGGTAGCGAATACCGCTTAGGTCTGAATAGGCCTTTACACTCGTCAAGACTCGAGTAATTTTTTGTCGAGTAATTCACCTTTAGTAACTAAATAACCACTCGCTACTGACTATGATACCGTTCATACTTTAATCAAGTACAGTTTACAAGTTATTAGTAGTTTTTATATGAACTCGACGTTATGTAAGTTTTTTTAGGACTCATTTAGCGAGTGAACAGGATCGTGTGGTGGGTGCTATTCTATTCGTCTGCCAAAATAGAACAAAATGGATTGGCTCGACTAAATGTTTGCCCCCTTACTAATAAAAAGTTACACAGTTGTTGAACACTGTTTTAAAATGACATTTCCATACTAAACGTCACTTTAAAACACTGATCAACGAGGGTGTAAGTTTTATTAGTAAGGGGGTTGGTGTTCAAACACGTTTAGCTACTTTGAAAATTATTATGGAAGCAATCTCATGCTTCTTGTTTCATTTTTAGGCTAAATAGAAAAACTAAAGTAGATAATTTTACTCCTAATTTATAGCGAGCAAAGTCGCAGGTTTAATTTCAAAATATTCCTTCTATCCTTGCAGGCTGCAACCTGAAAATATTCAACAACCAGGAGTTCGCCGCTCTGCTGTCGCAGTCGGTGTCTCAGGGCTTCGAAGCGGTTTTCCAGCTAACGCGCATGTGTACCATACGCATGAGCTTCGTCAAGGGCTGGGGCGCTGAATACAGGTACGGTTCGCGAACGAATGGCGCTCGCGAGCAATGTTCGCGAACGAATTGTGCTCGCGAGCAATGTTTGTAGACACAGTGGCCGCTTTGCAGTCGGTGTCTCAAGGCTTCAAAACGGTGTTCCAGCTAATAGCAATGTTTGTAGGCGAATGGCGCTTGCGAGCTAAGTCTGTAGATAAACAAAGCTGTACAGCAGAAATGTTCAAAGACGAATAGTGCGATACTGTCGAACGAATGGAACTTGCGAGCAATGTTCGCCGCCGTTTCCACAACGACCGATCCCCAGGTGCTTTCCGCTAAATTTACCAGATCGTCGGTCCACCGAGCGGAGGCCATAGATGCTACTAGAGAACGTTTCTGGCTCAACGGCCATCTATTCTATGAGTTATGTGCCCTGCCTACTTGACTACCTCTTACACTGGTCACTATATTACCTTTAAGCATTTTAAGCCAACAATTTATTTTATTTTATTTCCACCAGGCGGCAGACCGTGACGTCAACGCCGTGCTGGATCGAGCTGCACCTGAACGGGCCTCTGCAGTGGCTGGATCGAGTGCTCACGCAGATGGGCTCGCCGCGCTTGCCCTGCTCCTCCGTGTCCTAAGGTAAGGGATGTTCGCAGATGAATTGTGCTCGCGAGCAATGTTCGCGAATGATTGTGCTCGCGAGCGATGATCGTGGTCGAATAGTGCTCGCGAGCTTTGTTCGCGGATGAATTGTGCTCACGAGCGATGATCGTGGTCGAATAGTGCTCGTGAGCAATGTTCGTGGATCAATTGTGCTCGCAAGCGATGATCGTAGTCGAATAGTGCTTGCGAGTAATGTTCACAGGTGAATGGCGCTCGCGATATTATTGAATTGACAAACGTTGTTCGCGTGACTGTTCCCATCGCTCTTAATATAGTCGCAAACTAATAACTAGATAACCGGGTAGATAAAAAACCATTCTGGCCAATTTATTTAAAAATAAAATTATGGAGAAACGACATTATTTATCCCAGACAAATTAAACCCTAAAAATGATCTTAATCTTCAAATACATAGTTATTAAATAAATAGTACTTTACGTTATAAAGAAAAATACATTTTCCCTTTACAGCGGACGTTCCCGAGTCAAAGTACACTCGCCCACTATTGAGAGTAGCTCAACACAAATACCTCCGCTACAGTTAGTGTATGAGATACGTAGTTTGTTTGGGGAACTGTGAGTTTATACGTCAACGTGTATTTACTAGAAATAGTGCTCGCGAGCAATGTTTGCGGACGAATAGTGCTCGCGAGCGACGTTCGGAGATGAATTGCGCTCGCGAGCGCATTTTATACGTCAATGTTTCGTTCGTCAGTATTGACATTGTTTTGGAAAAATGAGCTCTATTTTGGACAAAAATCTAAATGATTTCTTTTATGAAGCGTTTTCAATAAATAAAAGTCTTTAAAAATGTCATAATAAGTATAAACTCACAGTTTTCTTAATTTAAATTGTATTTACTAAGCTATGTGTAAAGGTAGGGAGTCTGCGCGAACGAATAACGAAACACCTTATATTCTCCACGTTAAAATTCAAAATGCATTATCAAATTTGGTTTTCACTACGTTATTTTTCGCGCAGGCTTTGTATGTAGTCAGTACAGGTCGCGTCATTTAAAAAGAGCGCTGGTGGTCAAGCTGCGCATTAAGCGATTTATCGGTCGATTTGGTGGTATGAGGTGCGGCGCGGGGCGGGCGGGTCTCGCTTCGCATGCATGCCGGTGCGCTATTGGTTCGTCAGTCGACCTTTGATTTCGGCGCTGTGTCCACGTCACAATCGTTCTCAAAATACCATCGTGCACAAAAGTTTTTGATTACGAAATGGTTTTACACAGAAAAGTGAGAAAAATGATTTACGACGTATATTGTTTAACGGACCGCAGATTATTACCATTTGATTAAACATTCTACACTGAATGAAACATCTTTTTGTTGATATTCTTTCGAATATATTTTTTAAGAATTTTTATTTCATTAAGCAGAGAAAGAAGATCGAACATTTTTGTATGGAGCGTGGCATACCTAAACTTGCAAGTATGTACTTTTTACTACACCTTTGAAACATAACAAATGAAAGAGAAAAAACCAAACAACAATTATTGTTCATCATAAATTTGTCGTACACTTTCTGAAATATTTTACATTGTAAGTGACAGGAACATTGAAAAGCAATGTGCGCAATATTTTAGAAAGCTTGCAAGTTTAGGAGTTCGATGCTCTTTAAGTTGTTTGAGAGATAAACTCAATAACAGGCTAAACATACCATACTGCCGTTTAAATTATCAAACTGCATGATGAAACTGCCAATGAACCAATTGTCTTTGAATGAAATGAAGGTTTTATTTTTTATAACTTGTAATCTATTGTCCCTACCTGCATTCTTGTGAAATAAATAATTCATTTTAATGTACCTACTAAACCAACCAATATGCAAAGCCACGAGCGAAAGTCTGGTTTAAAAATAAAACAATAGGCCTAGTACGTATTTTCGTGCGCGAGTGTACCCATGCGCAAACACGCCCCCTCCACTTTCTTCCAGCGCTCTTTTTACATGACGCGGCCTGTACATTACTATTTTATAGTCTTAACACGCTCGAAATGGTATATTTTTGTTTGAGGAAAAAATATTTTTTCTAGTCTGCACGTATGAATTTAAAAACGCAATAATGTTTTGGGTTTTGTTCAAAGCACCGCTAGATTGTTATTTAATTTGTAATATACTCCGTTGGATTTTATAATAATAAAACAATGTATAATAAAAAGGTTGCCATGACAATTTACTCAGTAAAGTTTGTAGACTCCGCAGTTTGTTATTAAATATTTGAACAAAGCACGAAATATTATTGTGTTACAAGAATATAAGGTTTTACACAGTACGTAAGTTAAACCGTTATGTCTGGCACACAGCTGACGAGACGGCAACGCGATATAAACTCGACGTGACAAATATGGAACCGGACTCTATTCACATATTGAAAAATACTTATAAAAATTATGATTTTACATCATGTACTGTGTGAAACTTTGTATTTACTTTATTTATATCAAGAATACTGGCATATTTCGTCTTAAACTGCACAACAATATTTAGTTAATTTTTCGATCTGACCTTCCTCACAAACAAATATCTAACAAATAAAGGTGGCTGATACAGCTGACTTAAAAATCTGTCAGATATCACTAAGCAACACCTGGACCCAATAGTATAAGTTCCTATTAAGGGACATTAAACAAATTAAAAATCAAAATCAAAAATATTTATTCAATTTAGACCACAAATGGCACTTATTATGAACGTCAAAATATAGTAAATAAAAAAAAGGTAGCCCTTATGGGGCACTTTACATGTCTCCTTATCTTTTGGGCTTCAATAGGAAGGTTTTTATGTTGAAATTGACGTTAATCAGTAATCTTGATATAAAAAAAGTTTTTTTGAATTTGCAATAGCCCAAATCTTTATAGATTACCCCAAAAAGTAACATTATTAATACATTAAACAAAAATATATTTCGTTATGTTTAATCGTTTATATGAAATTAGTTCTGTTATCCATACATTTTATTGTATTTATCATTTTGCCATCAATGCATTTATAATATTTTGAAACATTATTATTATGCCTATGGTTGTTTTTTTTTTTCATTATTATTAATTTTTAACGAATATAAAAATGATAGTTGTGTGTTTTATACAGTTTAGAATGTCTTGTGAATTTTGTATAAATTATATTTTAAATTGCACTGTCTTAACAAGTGATTACCTAAAATATTATTCTATTTATATAAGCTGTATAACGGAAAGCGAATAAAATTCACGAAAATTTATATTTTTAAATGGTTTATACAAAATTTGGAAGACGAAAATGTAAATACGTTTTTTGTTTACAATTTATATGTATAAGAACAATAAATACGTAAACCACGTCACAGTTGCATGTATGAGGCCGGCGGTACACTCCCGATTTGTCGTTATATAAATGAAATATGAAGTACAAAAATATGTACAAAGTAAAAATGTAAAATATAATCGATGTAAAATGTATAAATCACTCCAAAAATATCCTGTTGTGTGTTTATTATTGTTATCCAGCCGTTATACAAGAGTTGTTATTCACTATTATAGTAAAAATGGTATAAAAGGTTATGGCTAGTGTAAGAATCGGCATAATATTGTGGTCATCTTAAAAAAAACTAAGTGAATATATTAATATTTTATAATAGACATTAGACATCCGTTTGCCATTCAAAATCAAGCCGTATTTTTACAGTTGAGCATTTCCTGTTTATAAAATAGTAATCGCTAGTGTATCGCCGTCTTAAAATACTTTTTATACGGTAAAAAAATGAAATTAACCCACTCATGTGATTTCGTTCATATGCACTTACGATTTGATATGAAATTATACACAACGTATAAATATAAAAAATGTATAAGTTGTATTGCTAATGTTGGGTATATGTTTTTTATTTTGTCTTAAATTGGTAAGAGATAATTTTACATTATAATTTTCTAATTTCATAGGTATGTTTATTTTCCAAAAAAATATTTTTTAAACTCAATTGGCCATTTTTTAATATATCGTCAAGTGCATATGACCGTATTTTATATAAAAACGAAATAGTTGTATAAACGATATAGTTTCACGTTTTGTAACCCAGTCACGTAGGATACGTGTAGTAAGACGGAACGGGGTGAGAGTGAGGTAGTGATAGTGTTGGGATGGTAAGATGAATATTAGATTGTTGGTAAACGATTGGCAGGTAATTTATGACTAAATGTTAGATAGCTTCCTAAAGGTCCACGGTCGGTTAAACCGTTCAGTTGAACTGATGTTAGCGCGAGTTTAAGTAAATTGTGCATATCTTCAAAAAATATGAACTGCACATCAGTCTTTAAATTTTTTGGTGGAAATTTTATTATTTTAAACAAGTAAGGTGCCACAATATTTAGCTAAATGTGCTATCGACTACTCTTTGAAGTGTTTTAACATTTAGTCATAATTACTGAGAAGGCAACGAAAAAAGCGATACCTTATTTTATTAAAATGAAATTATTTTTAGTTTCTATCAAAAACAATCAATTTATTTACCAAAAGTAACATTCGATATCGCTTGCAAATTGAAAAAGTTGTGACGAAATTGTGTTTTTATTATAACATTCATATTTTATTGTATATTATGTTTTGAATCAATCAATTTGTTTTTTTAAGCACTCGTGTAATTTTTTACCCAAAATTATTGTTTATTTTAGCTTTAATTCGTTTTGAGAGACATAAGGTTATAAAAGTGAATATTGTACGTCAAAAAATGTTCATTGAGTATGAAATAAAATTGTGGAGAACCGTGATTTCGGATTCACATATGTCTGTCTCGGTCGAACTTACAGGCTTCTCGCTTTGAGTGAGAGAGATGAATATATTTTTTATACTTTTCAGATAAAATTAAAAACCACTTGTAATCTTATGCCTTTCAATGTCAAAATCCATAATAACGTCACATGTAAGGGGAAAGCCAAAAAAGGTAATATCAAGGAATGGTGCTAAGTCGAAATTGATGGGGTTTGTGTGATAGCAGTGTCGTGAGATCGCTGCGTTGTATTGTTAGCGGTAGGACACACTGGCTACGTTTATACGCGGTTATTCAAGATGTATAAACTTAAAAAATATATAAATTCGTATTTCGTTTGAAACTACGCTACGTTAAGTATAATTTATTATTTTGACTTGTATCTTTATTTACCCAGAAAGATCTCATGTTTGGTGACAGAAATACACCTATAAAATGCTGGGCGAAATGTATTCGTCAAACCAATAAATTGTCTGTTTTTTTTATTTATACAATTTTTTGTGAAACATACACCTTGTATAACCGCGTCAGCTTGTGTGCTCCTAGTCTTATATCATAGTTTTTCATATGAATATTATTGTGACATGTGGTTAGAAGTTTTTTTTTAGATATATTTATTAGTTGTGTATGTATATCGCATTATTTGTTATTGACGCGGCAAATTTTATATAGTTCCAAAATACTGAACAGTCCTATCGATGACATTGACAGCGGGGCGCCACCGTCAATACCGAATCGCTGGTTCCGATTTTTGCCATGTTGGAAACCATAAAGTTGAACGATGGTAGCGCCCCCCTGTCATTGAGTTTGGCGGGACAGTTCAGCGTGGGTCATCTATACAGAATTTTATTTGTTGAACGCAAAAACTGTTTGGAACGAAAATTTTCTATTATTTATCTACAGTTTTATCGATTATTGGATAACTTAATACATTTTACAATCACGATTGGAATATTTTCGAATGTAATTTACTTGTTTGTAGTGCATTTCTACGTTTCTAGTCGTAAATGTAAAATGTATTCAGAATAAACGTAACTAACAAATATTTGTACTGTATTTTGTTTATTTTTGTAATTTGATATTGAAAAGAATACAAAATGCAGTATGACTGCTCTTTCGTTACGTCATTTATGAAAATTGAATATAAAAACATTTTAAAAAAATATCAAATATTTGCAAGTTTTATACGAGTTGGCCAAAATTATACAAGTGGCCCAAATATGGCACACCAACAATGGAGTTAAGATTGAATTAAAATAATATTGTGGCTTACATAATAACAAGATATTTCAATATAAATTAGTTTTTAAAATCAGAAAAAATATTTTGGAAGTCTAAATTGTATAATTGTGTAGAAACTTTTATCATTATTGGGTGCCATATTTGGGACTTTTTATTTATATTGCGAGAAAAGTCGTTTCGTCTTTAGTTCTAAGTATACGTTATCCTGTGTAGTCTATAAGTTAACATATTTATATGTTTTTCGTGTATAACATACGATTACTGGCTTCCATTGATCATTATTTGCGTGTATTGTTGGCGATCTCACGGGATGGTGGGATTAGAAAGTATAAACTACAATAAACGTGTGGTTTGTATGTTGTGTTTTATTTTGTTTGAGTCATTCCTTCTCAGATGTATTAAATTCAATAATATGAGCAGGTAGTCAGGTACTTCTTATTTCACACAAGACGATTTTATTTAAATAGTCAATTTCAAAAATATCTAAATTAAAAAAATATCTAGAAACGCAGGTAACTTTATATCTTGGCAGGTGTACCAAATGTGGGCCGCTATACATTTTAGATTATATAGCGGCCTTTCTTTAAACTATTTAGCCACGGTAATACTATCATACAGTATTGTAACTTCATACAAACGGACGAAACTCGAGCTTTCCTTCGAAATTCAAATCTCGGTATGCGCTCGACATGGAAAAGTCGGGGGTGTCGCGAATGTGCCACAGTAATAAACAGACGATGTGTTTTTTAAACATAGTGTTTTTTTTATAAAAATAATTACAAGTACCTATTTATACAGGGTGTTAGGTAAATGGATTTATAAGTCAACACTAGCCCATGTTAATATTTATGCATGAAAATAGTATGGTGAAGTCAGTGAATATCATTTTATTTTTATTATCATTCAAAATAAATATCATGATAACAATTTTCAGACTTCACCATTGTAAGCATTTTTACTGTGAAACAGATGTTAATTGGAAATTAAAATGTATATTGTTGTTTTAATAATTAAATGCGGGTAAGCGAAATAATAAGAAAAAAAAATTACAATCACAAAATACATTTACAAAACTAGATAGAAATTCAAGAAGGCAGATGTAATGAAAACAGGGTGCGCAGGTGGGCAGCCCTATCGCATGTTGTCAAACGGTGACGTACCGCGCGGCTGTTGACATTTATTTCAAAAATATGACCGAGTTGGAATACTGTATAGATAGTATTACCGTGATTTAGCTTACTAAAACAGGTTTTTTTTAAATAATTATGTGTTTAAAACTTTACGTTCAACGTCAAAGTGAAAAAAGACTGGCCACACACATTCTGCCGCCACAAAAATCAGTATTCAAACAAATATCAATTCCATCAAAAATGTCACTGCACTTTGCACGAAATGGACGAAAGTTTCTCAAGAAAAACCAAACAAAATTCACCCCATCTGGTTCGTTATGACACTGCAAAATTGCGAAATATTCGCTAGTGTGACGTTCTATTTGCTAGCCAAAATTATTTGTTACACCGTCGACTGCATCCGAGCATCAATGTTCAACAAGTCGGGGACCGTTCTGACGAGTATCCCGGAGAAAAATGAGGAAGAAGAGATCAAGAAATGGGTGCCAAAGAAGAAGCATGAGGTTCTGAAAGCCAAATACAAGTGCTTGAAGAAGCTGTTCCAGATATACGATGCGAGCGTGATAGGGATACTGCCGGAGAATCCGGAGATATGTGAAAATGAGGAGGAGGTGAAGGTTAAAAGCAGGAGGAAAAGGTCCCATAGAACGAAGACTGACGCCTGTGCTGGGACTACGGAGGTCTCGAGCGGGGATGCTACTGAGATGTCGGAGACTGAGAAAGGTAAGTTTTACTTTCGTAATAATTGGTGAATTTTTGGACACCTTGCAATCATTTCAGATGCGGGTCTAAAGTGATATACCGTTTGAATACATTGGGTCTCGTTTTAGGTAATTTGTGTACCTCTTGATACGTCGCAAAGTTCTCTGTGCTCATTGAATTTAACGGTAGTTTACTCTTCACAATATATTCCATATCTTCCTCACCCCTATTGAGCATGAAGTCTTGAAACTCAATTCTTCATCATTATCATTTATTTCATTTAAATTCTAGGCCAATCCTAGCCTTGCTTCTATTGTGGAGTGTCCTATCATGACAGCAACCCTAGATTCAGGCTTAAACTCACCCCAGACTTCTGATCTATGATAGACTACATTTCTCCAGGTTCCACCATCGCCACCACAATAATGCGTGAGTTGAAAATGACGCAATGTTCGTGCACGTCAACTCAGTACGATTCCTCTACCATCTCCAACCGCTACGCCACCACCCAGAACTCCAAATCCATCATCACCGACAAAGAATCCGAGTGCATTCAAGCCACAGAAACAGAAATCATCCAGCACCCGATTCCTTATCTGATAGTGAACGAGAAACCCAAAGCGACAAGGTTTCAGCTATTCCTGCAAAGGATATTCGGGATCAAACGCGAAAGGTCTTATAAGAACTTTGTACATCCAAACGGGCATATCTACGCGGCCAGCGACAATAATATTACTCCTCACTACTCGGAGAAAAGAAGACGAAGAGGATTGCGGTTCAGGAAGTTAAGAAGACCGAAGAAGATACAGTCTGATGGCGCATTGAGAAACGTCAAGAGTCCCATGATCCTGACGTACGTGCAGAGCGTTCAGAAGAACTGTCTGATGGATACCACGCCGAGGCAGTGTCCTATCATGGGATGCAGGATGATATTCTATGGTAAGTTCTTCTATTACATTCTGTTGTACAGTACAACCTATTGATCTACCTATACATCTAAACTACCTTTTTGTATAATACGATTTTGTAGAACCAACTAGGTATTTTTTGCTTTACGCCAACTATCCCATCAGAATTTGTACATAAAAACATCGTACAAAAAAACGGTCTTTGTACATAAAAACTTTTTTGCCGCAGGCATAATCAATTACAACGACCATCTCAACCTCTGCCATTTCACTGAACGCAAGTTCATCTGCCACTACTGCCACGAAGGTTTCGAAAGGGAATACGACAAATATCTCCACGAAAACGAGCATATCGGCATCAATAAGCTCAACTCCAATCACCCCAACGTGTCCTCTAGGCAAAGGAAAGCCAGCATAACCCAAACTGACCCTGAGCTCACGAAATCTGACGTCCCAGAAGACAAATTAAAGAAAATCGTCTCGTTCTTCGACAAAATCGCTGATCCCGATCAGATCTTGTCAGAGATCAAGAAGAACAGGTTTTCAGAGTCCAATCTACAGAATAGGCAGTCCAAAGATGATTCTGCTACAGAAAACACCAGCTGCAACTCGGAATCTGATAAAAGGACGGTCAGCTGCGTGAATCTTCATAGGAAGGTCAAGATACCCTCTCCAGCGGAGTCTGAAGTGACGTCAAAGTTTCCGTACAACTCGCCGGTGACGTGTCACTTCTGTGGAGAGAACTTTGATTATAGGTGAGACTTTGATTTGCTTTAAGATAATTATCATCATCAGGTCATTTAGTCTCCAGTGCAGGAGTACGATCCTCTATACATATAATACAACTGGACGCCAATGGAGGATCTACACTCCCCACGCTGGTCAGATGAGCTGGGGAAGCTTAGACATAGTACTAATTCTGGATTGAAATTCGTATTTTGTCATGCGCCGAATTGGCAAATGGCCACTCCGGCTGCACCCTTGGCTGCTGGAAGAGAATCTGTCTCGGTAGAGTGCATTTGGGGAAGCCTATATCCAGAAGTGGACTGAGTTAGGCTGATATTAAAAATGTTGAGGAACCAGCAGAAAATGCAGTGAAGCTAGCTTCCACCTTCGGCCTGATCGTCACTTACCATCAGGTGAGGTACAGGCCAAGAGCTTCCTCGTTGTGGATAAAAAAAAATCTGAATTAATGTCTCCTTATTCCAAGATACTATTTAGTTATTTTAATTGTTTCTCCTTTTGTTTTTATAACTTTCTACTTACCAACCGGCCATTGCTGAAATCATAGGGGGAGTCCCATGTTCTGCAGTGACCTATTTCTGAAATGATGATGATCAGCTTTTTACTTTATTCCCAGACGCCAACTGAGTCTCCACGTGGACTTAGAACACAGAGTCCACGACAAGTTCTCGAAGTTTCACAGCTGTGCCGGCATCATCAACCCTCGCCGCCACGAAGAAGGTAAGGTGACTTTTAAGACCACAGACCGAAGGAGCAATGCCCCATCCGAGGACACCTTCCGAAGGAAGTCTGAAGAGAGTCTAACGTACGAGCCTTCTACAAATATAGTTTATTACACAAGTATGGAGTCTGTAGGCTCCAAAAAACCGCCCGTGAGCTACAAATGGGAGCCGGGCACAAAAATTATTAGGGTGTAGTCTTGTCGTGTTTCGTGATTGTGTATCGTGAAGTGGCATTGTCCAATATAGTGTAAAATTCCAGTTGATATGTTTTATTTGGTAGATTCTAGTTTTCATTTACTGTAGAGTTTGAATTTACATGTTTGATAAATCTTTACTGACGCATTGAATAACTACCAAATTCCGTAGTACCACATTGGGGACGCAATTATTTTACAAGAAGAAAGTACTTTCTGTACCTTTTGGCAATGATTTTGGAGTTTTTAATAGAAGATGCTATTTTACAAGTTACAACCGCAAATGTTTTTTCGCGCTTCTTGACTCGCATTGGGACGAATTCATACTTATAGAAAAGATTGCTCAATTTTGGGAAGGCGTCGATCGTCGAGTCGTTTTGGGTACCTTTCCTAAGTATCTAGGTATGAGATGAGATGGGACTACAGACAGACCGAGCGATGATACGAATATCGAGAACCGCCCTGTGTAATTTTTGCGAGGCCGAAGGCCGAGCACCACTTAGGGCGAAGCCCGGAGCGGCCAGCTCATGTCGTCCCGCTTAGCGGGCGACCAAAGCTAGTTATTGCTATAAGACTAGACTTATACATGCTAGCATCTAAGAAGGTTAAAATGCTGTTCTAGGAAAGCGACAGGATATTCGCAATCAAAAAGTCAGCCTCAAAATTATCAAATATATTTATCAATAGACGCCAATATTGGTGAGTATATGCGTGAGTAATTATTCTGTCAAAGTGTTTATGTGAGTGATTATTCTGTCAAACGCTTTGTCTAACTGACTTTATCGTACGTTATGAACTGTCAAATGATTACGATGGCTTTACACAATTCCACCTCTGGTGCACATCCCGGAACACGGTCCGCACATTATCCGTGTCCGTGGCCGTTGTGAAGTGGAAGTAGCACTCGCGCGGACGGCTGGCCTCGACTACGCGGAAACTAGTGCCTTATATCGTTATAATAGATGCTATTTTACAACAGCAAATGTTTTCTAGTGTTACTTGACTCGCATTGACACTATAGAAAAGAGGAACAATTGAGATAAAACTGTGGACTTGGAAAAGAGATGATCGTCAAAGAATACTTTGTACCTACCTATCTAGGTGAGATGAGACTATTACTACAGGCCGAGCGATGATAAGGGTATGAAAAACCACCGATCAATCAAAAAAGCACTATAGCCTAGTGACAAAGGAAAACGCCACGTGTAATTTTTGCGAGGCCAAAGGCCAAACCCTCGTGTCGTAGACATTTTTTATGCAGTTCTAGAAAAGGGCAAATCAGAACAAACAGTGTTAAGAATGAAATATGTACTATATTTGTCTAATAAACGCCGATGTTAGTAAGTATATGCGTGAGTATGATCTGGTGTACATCCCGGAACACGGTCCGCACGTTATCCGTGTCCGTGGCCGTTGTGAAGTGGAAGTAGCACTCGCGCGGACGGCTGGCCTCGACTACACGGATTCTAGTGCCTCATGTCGTTTTTATTAGATGCTATTTTACAACAGCAAATGTTTTCTGACGTTTCTTGACTCGCATTGAGACGATAGAAAAGAGGTACAATTGAGATAAAATTGTGGACTTGGAAAGGAGACGATCGTCAAAGAATACTTTGTACCTACAGAGTATGAAGAACACCGATCAATCAAAAAAGCACTAAAGCCAAGTAACAAAGAAAAACGCCCCGTGTAATTTTTGCGAGGCTGTAGGCCGAGCGCCGCGTAGGTCGAAGCCCGGAGCGGCCAGTTTCGCAGAGCTAGCTTTTGTCGGCCCATTTATGTGAAAGTGTTTTTCATGCAGTTCTAGTAAGAAAGAGATAGTTCGCAACAGAAAAGCCAGTCTCAAAAGTATCAAATATATTTTTTCTATTCATCAATAAACGCCGATGTTAGTGAGTATATGCGTCAGTATGATCTGGTGCACGTCCCGGAACACGGTCCGCACGTTATCCGTGTCCGTGGCCGTCGTGAAGTGGAAGTAGCACTCGCGCGGACGGCTGGCCTCGACTACGCGGAAACTAGTGCCTTATATCGTTATAATGGTAGCGCATTTTCTTACATAACTTTTCAATTCCTATCATTGGAGGTCCGAAAATATTTCTCATACAATTTGATACCATAATGATCATTCTTCATAAAAAATTTAAAACCTACATATTTAAAAACATAATCATTGATATTCATAATATCACTAATCATACACTTCGTTTTTACTAATATTTGTTTTCATATATTTTTCTATACTAATGATCGAAACTCATAATCATTCGAATAAATAACTATAATATTCATAAATGTGATGTATCCTAATATTTGTTTTCATAAATTTATTACTCATAAGGGTGCCTGAGCCTCGTTACGCAAGGGCGGAAGGGCTGCACATCCCGCAGCGCCGGAGACGAGGAGATACCAATGCATGCTGCATGCTTGCTTTCATGCTGCATGCTCTGCATGCTTATCTACTCTATTAAATTATATATGATTTTTTTAAAGATACGAGTATGTCTGTTATAAAGTAAATTATTCTGAACAACAACATTATGAGTTGAAGTATGTTCTTAGTAACAACATTATTAATTAAAACAATATGATCAATGAATGTTATGAAGAAAAAAGATCTGAAAATAAAAATTATGTATTTAAATGGTTCTTGGTAGTAACATTATTGATAAAAAAATTATGATTACTAACTGTTATGAGCTCCGATGGTAGTAATAAAAATGTATGAATAAAAAAAGTATGAAAAATAAAATTATGAAGAGAGATTATTATGAACACAAATCGGTAGTAAGACAAAGAATAGGATTTAGAATTTTATGTGAGCCAATATAGAACCCGTTATAATAGATGCTATTTTACAACAGCAAATGTTTTCTAGTGTTACTTGACTCGCATTGACACTATAGAAAAGAGGAACAATTGAGATAAAATTGTGGACTTGGAAAGGAAACGATCGTCAAATAATACTTTGTAACTACCTATCTAGATGAGACTATTACTACAGAGTATGAAGAACAACGATCAATCAAAAAAGCACTAGAGCCTAGTGACAAGGAAAAACGCCCCGTGTAATATCTGCGAGGCCGAAGGCCGAGCACCGCAGGGTCGGACTGGGCCGGAAGGGCCCGGGTGGCTGATAGCAATCCCGAGGCCCGAGACTAGATCATGGTGATGGGATACTATCGAAAAATACTGAGATACACAAATTGAGATAAACAAACTTTAAAAAATTTATTACAATACTAAAATAAAGTAAAATAATAAGTAGGTATTTACTAATAACAAATAATAATATAAAGCTAGCCAATCAACATTTTTTTTTTCTTCCAATTACTTATTGTAAAGAAAACGTAATAACTTTTAAAGTAAGAGGTGTATCCTGTAAAAACAGTAATAATGCTAAATAACAGACGATACTAAAAAAATACATAAAATACTCAGAAAATGCCAACAAATAATAAAAAATCGTCGCCCCAGCAAGGGTTGAGCTCGTGCAGCTTGTCGGCCAAGTAATTGTGGTTGCGGAACAGCCAGAAGATCAGGTTGACCTGATCTCAACATCAATGCCGTGGAGAGCGTTGCGCTTAGCTAAATTATGTTTTTGTGACGAGTGGTTTCCCCACAATAGTCCAGCGGCGGCGGGGTTCAAACCAGTGTTCCTTGGATCCCGAGTCGGCCAGTCTGACATCTTCACCGTTCGGTATTGTAGCTTTGTTCTATAGTTCAGGTTTCTATGTGAGTATCTACTGCTTGACTGCCAAAAATCCAACCAATGAAGGCCAGGGCATCATGAAAGAAACATAAATGGTCAAAGCCCTCTTTCCCACTGGGCACTTTAGGCACGTGCTCAGGGCCCCGCGACGGAGGGGGCCCCCGTCTGTCCGTCTCAAAATACCTTCTTCTAGATGACAAGGGCCCCCTTGATCCGTAAGTGCCCAGGGCCCCTAGTAGGTTAAAGAAGGCCCTGTGTTTACATAACTTTTTGTCCTAAATTAAATTAGAGAAGTTATACATAAGCAAAAAGGATTTTTTTTGCTTATAACTTCTTCAATCTTTAATTTAAGGCAAAAATTTATATTAACATATTTGTAGGCAAAGCAATTTTCTACAAATTATGACTGTACAATTTTTTTGTACGACGCATAGTTTCCGAGCCATGCACGCGGGCAACCGTAGCACAGGGTCCACGCTGCGCGGGCCCCCTGTGCTACGGTTGCCGCATGCCCCGCAACCCAGGCCGTTGGGGGCCCGCGCAGGCTGGGGCCCGGCTGGCAAATGCCACCCCGACTGTATGGCCAGTCCGACGCTGGAGCACCGCGTAGGACGAAGTCCGGAGCGGCCAGTATCGCAAACCTAGCTTTTGTCAGCCCATTTATGTGATGGTGTTTTTCATGCAGTTCTAGTAGGAAAGAGATAGTTCGCAACAGAAAAGCCAGTCTCAAAAGTATCAAATATATTTTACTATTCATCAATAAACGCCGATGTTAGTGAGTATATGCGTGAGTATGATCTGGTGCACGTCCCGGAACACGGTCCGCACGTTATCCGTGTCCGTGGCCGTTGTGAAGTGGAAGTAGCACTCGCGCGGACGGCTGGCCTCGACTACGCGGAACCGTTCCGATGCCGTGACGTTCTTGCGCTCGCGCTTTTGGGTCGTCTTTTCCTGTAGAGAAGATTTCGTGTGAGTACTTACTCCTTTTTATTTATTGTGTATCTAATCTTATTCCTAAATAATTTTATTGCTGTTCTAATTTTATCGTGTACATCCCACTTTATTCCTGTACGGCTAGCACGAAAAACTTTCGAGTTCGAATCGTTTGCGTATTCGAATCGCCATTAAAAGATTTAGTACGAAAACTACAACAGTTACAGCACCCTTGTGAACGTGTCGTAAATTGAACTTAGTATGAGAAATGGTTGCACAAAATTTATTTTGAGAATCAAAATTTTATTGTCACGTTATCGTTTGATTCGAAGGTTGAGTATCAAATTCTGTCGAATACGCAAACGATTCGAAGACGAAAGTTGTTCATGTTAGCATGAACAACTTACATTAGTAGTAGGTTACAACAGTATTTACATTAGTGTAAATACTGGGATTGTTGATTGGTCCCACATTGCGATTTCGCGAGAGGATGTCTCAGTCCCGGTTTCTACCAAAGCGGAGCGGAAAAGATTCGTGCGGAGCGGAGAAGCAAAAATACTGTTTGATTGGTTATTAAATTCAAAACTCTTCTTCACTCCGCTCCGCTCTACTCCGCGTTGGTGAAATCCGGGCCTTGTGTTATTTTTATAAAAATAATTATGTTTTAATTCGAGTGGGCTCATCACAATAGTCGAGCTGCGGCGGGGTTCGAACCCGTGTCATCGAATCTCAAGCTGGTTAGTCCTGCACCTTTTATTAACGAAAATTACAGCACTGTCACAGCCAGTTTTTTTATGCAGGACAAGGAAGGTATTTGACCGCAATCGTACCTGGTGTTAAGTAAGATGCAGTCTAGGATGGTAGATTAACTTAATTAATTAAATAACTTACAGCAAACATGCTCCTAATAAACAGCTTGGTCCTCGTAAACGCGTCCGCGTCGGGCTTGTAGTTGTGGTAATCGGGGAAATAATCTCCCACGTTGCGGCCTTGAGCGATTTTGTTTTCCAACACGTCTTGCTTGTTCAGGAACACTATTAGGCCTGCTGTGATTAGGAACCTGCGAAATAATGGTGGTATAAGATAAAGGTGAAACATATATGAAGTTAAGTAGGTGAGATGAGGATAATAATAACAAATAGGTAGGCAGTGTTACAACGACGACATGAACTGATATCTTATGTAGCTAAAGTCTGGTCGCGGATCACGTAGAATTTTGTCCAATGACCCCAAGCTACCTATCCTTATTGCTCGCGCGTAATTATATTGCTATCGCGACTGCGACGGGCGGCAGCAGTGAGTGTGCGAGCTCAACAGCAATATTATTACGCGCGAGCGATAAGGATGGGTAGCTTGGTGTCATTGGACAAAATTCTACGTGCTCAGGGACCGGACTATAATAAGTGCTAGTAGCGACCGCCCGCGACTTCGTGCGCACCCCGTTTTACCCCTACTACTTTCTAAAAGGATCCCCAATCAAAATTTGAGACTCCTAGCACTTGTAGTTTCTGAGATTTCGTGATGAGTGATTTAAGTCAGGGACCTAGATTTTGCTGCTAAAATGTGTATGTCTGGACATCATAATATCACGTATTGTGGCCAAATCTAACGATCGGTACATTTCTTCAAAATTTTCAAAAGTTTCAATGGAGATTTAGCTTCCCTTCATATTTCTGTTCGCCTGTATTCTTTACTTTAAGAGCTGCTGATGTCTGCTTCGAAGAAATCATCGGGATTTCTATTTTTTTTTAACCTCTTTGTCGGGCTTTCACTTTACCTGCTCTGCCAGACGTCTTCGAACAAGTCCAGCGCTTCCTTCAGTCTGTTCTGGGTCTGGTCTTCCCTCAGGGTCTGGTCGAAGTCGCTGCATGCCACCACGAACCAGATGGCGTTGATGCCTTCGAACACCTTGAAGCATAAACTCTTCATTAACCGCCTCTGTGGTCTAGTGGTAAGACCACCTGCTTCAGACGCAGAGGTCCCGGGTTCGATTACCAGTAAGGGCAGATTTTTCTGTTCGGTTTGGTTGGTGGTAGGGCTTGTTCTAAGTCCACCTGGCTAGCTACCGCCATCTTATCTAAGTCTGTCGCCATAACAAAAATGTTAACAGTATTGTTGTGTTACGGCAGTTAGAGGTAAGATAGCCAGTTCCTCCGTGGTTGAGGATTCCGGGTGAAGCTCGCTTCCAGCTTCGGCCTGATCGTCACTTACCACCAGGTGAGATACAGGCCAAGAGCTTCCTCGTAGTGGATAAAAAAAAACTTAAAAATTAGGGATTGATGGTAAAAATGGGCATACTTAAATGTCTAAATAATGATGCTTAAGATACTCACTTGTATCCATTTCTTCCTCTCGCCCCTCTGCCCTCCAACGTCGAACATCCAGAAGTCTTGGACTCCACCTGCCATTGATTTTGGCACCTAGAATCAGAAAAACATCAAGCTTATTCTATGAAATACTAGCTTTTCGCCTCCCCAACCCGTCTGGCCAGCGTGGGGAGTGTAGGCCAAATCCTCCATTTGCCTCTGGTAAATTAGAAAGGGTCGTGCTTAGGGCATGAATATCGGAATCTCGGAATCTCGTAATATCGGAATCTCGGACTGCGAGATCCGATATTTCAATTCCGATATTGAGCGACCCAATATCGTAATATCGGAATCAGATAAATGTTTTAATTGAGATTTTAAACAAAGCGTTTAAACTCTCCACAACCTGCCACAAAGCCCAAAGTACATGATTGGCAAATACCAATGATTTTCTCATGTCTCTCACCATCACTTTTTGTTCCACTGCAAATATTTTATTAACTTTACTATTTATGGTTAATTTAACTTGTTCTAAATCAATTTTAGCATTTGCCATAGGTACTTGGTCAACAAAGAACGACATCTCAACTCCCTTTCAAACATTAATTTTACTTTCATGGACCGACAGTTCTGCGTACTATGTGCCCTGCCCATTGCCACTTCAGCTTGCTAATCCGTCGGGCTATATCAGCGACCTTAGTTAGTTTATGGAGCTCCTCATTTCTGATTAGATCTCGTAAAGAAACACCAAGCTTATCCCTCTCCATAGCACGTTGTGCCCTATATTCAAAGACCACGTTTTCGAGCCGTATATCATCACTGGTAACACACACTAATTGAAGACTTTCGTCTTCGTATTCGACGATTTACCTCTTTCTCGAAATTGCATCTAACTACCTACCTACCGAGATAGACATAGTACTTATACCTTGATTTTTTAGAATCCAGCAGAGATGTAAACAAACACTTTCATACACAATTACACCATAATCACTTAGGTGTTCATAATATCATACACATTATTTAACAAGCCCATGAAACCAACTTTATTTTCACGTTTAAACAAGTTTGAAATCAATCTTTGAAACAAATTATTTTAGCAAAATACGTGGACGATGTGAATTTGTGAGACTTGTCGTTTAAAATCATGTGTTATCGCCATATTGTCTATGACTTGTCTCTGACACATCAGTGCTGTAACCTGTGAGTCATAGACAATAATCTGTAAATTTAATCGATATTATTTTAAGTATTCACTTATTCCGATTACTGATTAATTTTAAATAAAAAATATACGATACTTTGTTTAGTTTTCCAGCGATAACTTCGACAATATTGGAGATAACGTAAAATTATTTTTCGACTTTTAGTGTATACTTTTTCGGAGTCAGTTTAATTTTTAGTCGGTTTTATTTAAACGAAATTATTTTACTTTTTTATGCAATTATGCTTACGTATTGTTCCATTGCTTATTTTCCTACATAAGTAAATAAAATAAAATAATTTTGCAACTATTTGAAGTTTAATAACTTTACGGATATCATTGATTGTTTTACTGTCCAGTGTGTTTTTTGATTACATCTGTGCATACAGTTTGTTTCCTGTTCTCTAAACTTTCATAATCAGTTCACATTCAATGTTGCGACTTTGTTGCATATTTTTAGTATTTTGACGATCACCCGGCGATGATACGCAAGTACTACAATAATTTCACTTCGCGATTAACGAGAGGTTTTGTCGCATCACTAGTTCACAGACTAAAAATATTTTTATGTCAGTTGGCCATTTTTTATGACATTTCTGCTGATTTCTAAAAAATTAGACTGTACTTGTCAACAATCTCGAGAATCGAGCTCCTAACCGAAAACAGGGTAATATAATGAAGGAGTGAAAGTTTGTTTGATACCTGTGATTTTATAAAAACACTAATTATTTGCTAGTCCATATAATAGGCTCATTATCAGTAACCATTCATTATCAGGTGATCCGTCTGCTCGTTTGCCTCTTGTCACATAAAAAACCAAATGCAATGGATGCCCATAACGTAAAAATATTACCAAATATTAATTTTATAGCACATGAACTCAATTCCGATATTAATATCGGAATTCCGATATTGAGATCTAATATCGGAATCCAATATCGGAATTGAAAACCTTCCGATATTACATGCCCTAGCTCGTGCTCCTGCCTGATGATAAATGATACTAGCTTTTAACGCGTTTAATTCAGTTTATCACACGTTATAAATGTATTTTTATTGAAATTGGCCCATGATAAAGAACGGAAGCAGGGAAGCGCTGGACGCAGGCCGCTACCAATCGATCAACATGGAAAGCATTGGGAGAGGCCTATGTTCAGCAGTGGACGTCCTATGGCTGAGATGATGATGAGCATGATGAAAGAACGGGTTACTTACTAAACAATATTTTTGCCTACCTTCACTTTGAACTCGATTTTCTGAATCCCAGTGGTTTTCTGACGACATCGAAGGATATCGGCATCAGAAGGCACGTAGTCTGGTTTTGCTAGGAGGTCTATGCGATCTAGGAAACTGAAAAATTAAACGAAAATATTAAGAATACCTTCGCACGCGTGAATTTCGATCTGTCACAGAAAGACCGGGATAAAAACTATCCTTAGTTTTATCCCTGGATGTCAAACTAAATGTCTCTCTATCTAAGTATACCAAACTTCTGAATCGGTTCAGTGGTTTAAATTAGAAAAGATTAGAGACAGTTAATATATGGAATTATTCCCAGTTCCCACCCCTCGTTCCCACCGCTGCAACTCCCGTGTAGCTACAGCTTGACCGCCAATAACCCAACCAGTGAAGGTCAAGTTTGTCCCGGAAAAGTTAAACTGTCATTGGACCCGCAACGAAATTAATCAGAAGAACATATAGGAGTTAGGCCCAGAACAGACGGTGAAACGCAACTGCAACGTAACTTCAACTGCTAGTTACTTTTGAGTTGCATCTAAGTTTCTGCCATAGCGTCCGTTGAGAGACCACACATGACGCGGCCAGATTGAAACTTTCAGATTCAGTTTCATTGATCAGAATCATCAGAAAGTTGCAGTTTCGTTGCAGTTGCGTTTCACCGTCTGTTCTGGGCCTTAGTTCGAAGTTAAGATGCAACTTCGCTCCAGTGCAAAGGGATGATGATGATACTTACTATTCAGCGCTTTCGATGAGCTGGTATTCATTTGATCTTCGAAAGCACTCCCTCACGCCGGCGTCTTTCCACAGGGACCTCACGAAGTCGTAATAGTCCTGTAAAATATCAATTAGTTTATGAAGAACTAGCTTGTACCCCCGGCTTTGCCCGTGTTGATTTCGGTTAATACAAAATAGTCACTGAAAATCATGAAACACTCCAAAAATATTCCTCGCCAAAATCAAAAAGGGGTCAAAGTTATTCTACACTAGCTTTTGCCCGCGGCTTCAACCGCGTGAAATTTAGTTTGTCACAGATCGTCATAAATACAATGTTATTCTGGGTTATAAGCAATAATACTGTACAGTTGGATCAAAATCCGTTCAGTAGTTTTTGCGTGAAAGAGTAACAAACATCCAAACATCCACGCAAACTTTCGCATTTATAATATTAGTAGGAAGTAGGATATTAGTAGGATTACTTCCCAAAGCACCTGTTAATTAAGTTTTTTCGGTATCAGACAACAAAGATTTAATTCATCATCAAGTCTTGTATACAATTCCGGCAGAGTAGAATACAACCACCGCCATTCTTCTCATGGAATGTATTTCGGATGGGATAGTTTTACAGGATTTTTTGCTGGGTATTGTTTTGTGATTTTGTGAAATATTTTTTGCTGGTTCCTTACCTCACTATACTCGGGAGGTCCAGCAGTCCCGCATCGCAGTATGAACTTGTAAGCGTCGTAGTTCCTTGCGTTCTGCAGTTTGATGCCCAGGGGGGCCATGTTGAAGAGTATATCGTGGATCGACTCGTGGACGTTGTGTCTAATGTATTTCACTTTATCTGCTCGTTCACTGGAAAATTATAATAAATCTTTGGATATTTTACACAGTAGCAGCAGCAGAAAATTTAATACATTTTTGTTACATTGATAATTCATAGAAAACCTGAGTAATTTTTGTATGAATCATGTACAAAAATGTCTATGAACTAAGGCCGAGTTACACCGTCTTACTTTAACCGTAACTATAACAATAACCGGCATTTTTTATGGAGTTTGACAGACTTTTCTTTGAAGTTTGTTAAAGTTAAAGTAAGATGGTGCAACCCAGCCTTCATCATCATCATCATCATCATCACTTCAGCCATAGGACGTCCACTGCTGAACATAGGCCTCCCCCAATGACTTCCACATCGCACGGTTGGTAGCGGCCTGCATCCAGCGCCTTCCCGCTACCTTTATCAGGTCGTCTCACGCTGCGTTTTCCGGTACGTGGCCTCCACTCCAGAATCTTGCTGCCCCATCGGCCGTCAGTTCTGCGTACTATGTGCCCTGCCCATTGCCACTTCAGCTGCTAATCCGTCGGGCTATGTCAGTGACTTAGTTCGTTTACGGATCCCCATTTCTGATTTGATCTCGTAAAGAAACATCGACACACAGACAGATTTGAACCTAAGTATAGTCCAAAAGTTCAACCTCTCTTGAAGTTAAGATAAGTTTAAATTATTGTATTTAGACTGGGATTCGAGTTTCTTTTTTTAGTTTGTTTGTTCTTTTAAGCCAAATGACGTTTCAGCCACTGCCCGAAGGATTTCCACTATGACCGACTAATTGAACTTGATACATCTACCCTTCTTCTTTTAATAAAATAAACCTAGTACATTTATGATTATTACCTTTGAGAGAATCCTTGAACGTGCAATATCTTCATTTGCTTGATTATGGTTGTCTTCCCACTTTCTCCGGTGCCAAGTAAAAGAAGTTTTATAGCCTAAAAATAAATAAAAACCTTACTTTATTTTAAGGAACATCGGTTAAATGGCGCTTCCTAGACTCATGAAAATTTGAATGATGAAATCCCTCAACTAAAAAAACTGCTAAAATTATTTGGGCGAGGGAAGGGTACAAAATGTCGTTTAAAAGATACAAAAATACATAAACTGTTGACTGTTCAATCAATTTGATACCTTTATTTGTAATGTTTGATGTGGGTAGTATGTGCTGTTCAAAATTTTTCTTCCACCTACCTATTTGGTGATAAGTTTGTCTACCTACATTTTTTTTATTCTAACACTTTTGCTATTGCGGGAGTTTGTAGTACGAATGGATGAATGTGTGATGTGTTGTTTACCTCATGATGCAAAAACTACTGAACGGATTTTAATGAAATGTTTCACTAGCTAGTTTACTTTACACAACAAATTCGCGGATATAAGCTAATTAAATAATAAATAAATAAATTACCTACAACTTTATCTTTACACGCACTTGAAAAAGATAAAAACTTACTTGATCATACGGTCTGATCCACGTTTTAATTTCTTTATCCAATTGTTTAGAATAATCTGCATCTTCATTGCTAGCCTGCATACACGGCACACAGATTATCCTCATTTTAAAATAAATTAAAATCAAATTAAATTAAAAACAAACACAAAACAAAATGGAGGCCACTGCCAACAAATCACGATCCTCAACTGAACGGTATCAGTGATTGATAGATAATTGTTGTTATCTAGGAATTAAAAGATTATTTCGATTATTTGTAGCGTAGACATCTTACGTCAACCGACGTTTTGGTATGAAAGAAAGATACATTTATTACAATGGACATCACACAAATACAGGCAATTACATAGACATGACAGTGGCACATAATAATGGACGAAGAAAAAATAAAAACAAGAGTAAACTGAGAAGTGCCACCCATTCACCAACAAGATGCCCACTGCAACGGGACCCCACTCAGCATATGCCGTGGCCCACGGTGACGAAGGCCACGGCGCTGGTTTTCAGTGTGCCCCAACTACCCCATGCCGAGTGAGGTGTTGGAATGCAGGGAGGAGCAATTTTTTCTTTCGATCTACCCCTTTTAAAATTGGGATGGATAGAGAAAAAACATTGCGTTTCCTCTCTTTCTAAAGTCAGTAATTTTATTGCTACCCTCTTTTGCAAAATAATATTAATGAATGCGAGCTGTGATTTTTTTTAAAAGCAGTTTTAATATTTCAAAGATTTTTGTTGTTAGATGAGGCAGAAAGGCATAATAACGTTTTAGCACTTAAATAAAGGAAACTATTGTAAAGTGCTCGTGTATTCTAATTCCTTTTAATTAATTAAATTTTAATTTAATTAATTAATTAAAAGCGGTAAAACAGTTACATATGTAGAACAGAATGATGGAAATAGAAAAATAACTATAATGACCCGGAATATTGGGCGTTAAAAATGTTGAAATATTTTTGAACTTAATTAATTATTTTTTTTATTTTGCATAACAATATTTTATGATTATGAATAAGAATAGAAAGTCTTTATTCTGCAGGTAATTAAACAAATAAATAATGGGAGATGTAAATGATCCCATTACCCACTCCTTAACACATAATGTTAAATGTAGGTATACATGCTTTATATTTAGTTTAGCTGGAGGAGTTAAGGGGATTTTTTATTATTTACTAGCTTTTGCCCGCGGCTTCACCCGCGTGAAATTTAGTTTGTCACAAATCGTCATAAATTATAGCCTATTATTGCTATTATTCTGGGTTATAAAGAATAATACTGTAAAGTTTCATTAAAATTCGTTTAGTAGTTTTTGCGTGACAGAGTAACAAACGTCCATCCAGACATCCAAACTTTCGCATTTATAATATTAGTAGGATTAGTTTACAACATCGCCAATCGACCAGAAACAAGAAAATCTTCAGCTCTGAAAAGAGCATCGTTTTTAAAATCAACTGCATAATCAAAACACGATTTATTTATTATAAACAATTAAAACCTTCGTCATCAACTTCAACTTTCTTTAGAATCACGACTGTGACTTGTATGGTACATATTAAGCGCCTTTATGCCCTCGATATTCGCGTGTTTTGCCAGTTCTCCTGGTAGGAGCAATCTGACAGCTGACTGGACCTCCTGGCTTCCCATGGTGGTCTTCTTCCCATGAACCACCATCCTTGAGGCCTCCACCGCGATTTTTTCCAGCATATCGTTGACAAAATTGTTCATAATCTGCATACTTTTTCTTGAAATCCCCAAGTTGGACTGCGTCACGGACCGTAGTAACTTATAGATGTAAATAGAGAAGCTCTGGTAGTTCTTCTTCTTTATTTTCTTTGATTTTGAGATCGGTTTTTCGATCGGCTTCTGCATCGATTTCGCGGGCTTTTTCGGGGCCACTGTCGGCGCCATTTTGTTTTTGTTTCATAAATAAAGTGTATGGGAAAATAAATGAAGAGTTTTTTAGTTGTTTTTATAGAAACTGGACGCTTAATTAAGTGGGGTTTGGAAATGTTTTATTGGCCAATAAGAATAGGGTTTTGATATTTTGTTTTGGTTTTGACGGTAGTTGAATAGATGTGGTTAATGTTGAGTCGTCTACCTTCATTAAATTGAAATAAGAGTTTGTGACGTAAAACCATTTAATTAGCAAATTCTAATCACGTTTATGAAATAAATACTTATTGATGATAATTTGGTCACTAGCTTTTACACACAGATTAACTTCTTCATTAGCTTGAAATTCAGCTTGTTCACAGATAGACAAAATTTTGGTATTTAATTAAATAAATATCCTTGGACATTTTACACTACGCTTCTAGTCCCAAACTAAGCAAAGCTTGTACTATGGCATATGGGTACTAGACAACGGATATAAACATACTTAAATACTTTTTTTTTGTAATAAGTACATACTTATTATACATAGAAAACACCCAGTCCAATACAAACAAATATTATTATGTTCATGCACACAAATGTTTGTACTGTGCGGGAATCGAACCCTCTACCTCCGAAATAGTAGTCCGTTTCGAACCACTACACCAAACGGCCGACTTTTTACTTTGGGGATGAAAGGTCCTCCATCCATTTTCACAGAATAAGTGGGATAGATCCAAGAATTATTTATTTGATTAATAAATTTCGTTAAAATAGTGACTCGTTTAATATAAAAGTGTCTTAAGTAGTTTAGTATGTATTATTAAAGTCCATCGATGAATATGTAGATGGATGGATGTTTATTACCTCACTCATTTAGCGCGATTTAGAGTTTTTCGTTCCCACCGCTGCAACTCCTGTGTAGCCAGGATCTACAGCTTGACCGCCAATAAAAACGCAACCAGTGAAGGTCAAGTTTGTCCCGAGGGAAGTTAAACTGTCATTGGACCCGCAACGAAATTAATCAGAAGAACATAGGAGGAGTTCGAAGTTAAGGTTCGACATGGTACAGAGATAGTTTGAGACTCAGGGATAAGCTAAAAACTATCCTATAGTTTTTATCCCGGTTTTTTAAAGAAGCCACGCATGCTTTCTGTCACAGTCACAAAAGTAAATTATTTTCAAGAAAAAGCCCCTACGTTTTCGTTAAATAACAAAAATATCAACCAAATCCAAGAACATTTAGTTAATCTTCCAACTCAAACTTAAATCTACCCTCAATATAAAAAAAACAGTCTGTATAAAAATCGACTGGCTAGCACTGGTCTCGCCATTTGTAATTCGTTCTCCGCGCCGTAACCACATACCTAAAAAAAAACAAAATGACAGGTCGCGGAAAAGGCGGGAAGGGGCTTGGTAAAGGAGGCGCGAAACGTCACCGAAAAGTCTTGAGGGACAATATCCAAGGCATTACCAAACCTGCTATCAGAAGATTGGCGAGACGAGGCGGCGTGAAACGAATATCTGGCCTAATTTACGAAGAAACTAGAGGCGTGCTGAAGGTTTTTTTGGAGAATGTCATTCGTGATGCAGTGACATACACAGAACATGCCAAAAGGAAAACTGTGACCGCTATGGATGTGGTATACGCGTTGAAGAGGCAAGGGCGAACGATTTACGGATTTGGAGGTTGATTTTTTAATAATAATAAATATTTTGTTGATTGTTTTGTTGTTTTAATCAAAAGTACTGACAAAGTCCTTTTCAGGACTGAACATTTTCTTGTTTCTGGACGAATAGTCGAATTCAGACTCCTTTTTATCCGTGAATTTTAAATTTAACACATAATATTATCGCCGGTATTCACAAACATTACTATGAGGACGCACAGGGTGACACACGAACCAATCACAGAGCTCAATTCAACGCTTTTTTATAATGTTTAGTAGAAAAGTAAACTACTTAATTATCTTTTTTTTTTGTTCTGGGTGTTTTCTATAGGTAGGTACATGTAGGTAATTAATTTATTAGGTATTAGATAAAGTTCAAGCTTAATTTGCAAATTTTCAAGTAAACTATAGTGAAAAGTAAATTACTTACCTAGTTGTATTAGGTACTTACTAGGTATTAAAGTATTCGTTTTGACGATGCCTTTAGTCTTAATATTATCGGTTATCGTTAGTTTTATTGCGTTATTGTTGTTCAGTTGATAAATCTTCCATACTTTATTACTCATAGTATTGAAAACGTAGCCATACATAGAAAACCGAAAACAGTATTTGATTCTAATTTATTTATATGTACTAGTAAATATCTGCAACCAAACCAACTGCACAATACATTCAACGAATCACATTTTAAGAAATGTGGGTATTTATATCTATTACTTTTTTTTCTTACCCACACAAATCCTAACCAGAGCTAACCAAAAAATGTGGGTATATCCAAAACAACCAACTACTTACTACCCTCAACCAACTCGTTATAAAAAATACCTCGTCTATAAATACACCGTGGCACATCCCACTCGGCACAGTACCACAAAATGGCCCGTACAAAGCAGACCGCTCGCAAGTCCACCGGTGGGAAGGCGCCTAGAAAGCAGCTGGCCACCAAAGCTGCCAGAAAAAGCGCTCCAGCCACTGGAGGCGTGAAGAAACCTCACAGATACCGCCCAGGGACCGTTGCTTTGCGAGAAATTAGACGATATCAAAAAAGCACGGAGCTTCTAATCAGAAAACTTCCCTTCCAAAGATTGGTTAGAGAAATAGCTCAGGATTTCAAGACGGATCTTCGATTCCAGAGCTCGGCTGTCATGGCGTTGCAGGAGGCAAGTGAGGCGTACCTGGTTGGACTCTTTGAGGACACCAACCTCTGTGCGATTCACGCGAAAAGAGTGACCATAATGCCGAAGGATATACAGCTGGCTCGCAGAGTGAGAGGGGAGAGGGCGTAACGTGGTAGTACTGTACTGACGCAGCGAAAGCGAAGATTTTAACTGACAAAGCCCTTTTCAGGGCTGCAAAATCGTTTGTTTCTTTCGAAAGACCGAATTGACTTTTGTAGTAATAAATACTGCTGTGACTGTGACGGTTACAAAGTAAAAAACATGTGGGTAGCTAAAAAAGGAAGTAGCCAAACCTTCACAAAAGCTAAGTATGAAAACGACTATTTATGCTCTAAAACAGTAACCAGGTTAACAGATGAACATGTTTATATTCGTCATTCCAGAAACAGTGATAATCTGCAGTCCTGAAAAGGACTTTGTCAATCAGGTCATTTATTCGACCGTCATCAAAAATAATCACCCAATCATCTTGATTGAAAATAATCAATCATCTTGATTTAAAATCTCCTTGATTGTAATCTGAAATCTCATTCTTGTCTTCGTGATCTTCTCTAACTCGACTTCATGGTTTTCTTGGGCAGCAGCACCGGCTGGATCGATGGTACGACTCCTCCTTGCGAGATGGTGACTCCTGACAGCATCCGATTCAGCTCCTCATCATTTCTGATCGCGAACAGGATGTGGCGAGGCACCACCCTGCTTTTCTTCGTGTCTCTTGCCGCGTCTGCTGCCAGCTCCAGTATTTCTGCTGCTAAATATTCCAATGCTGCTGCCAAGTAGATGGGGGCTCCGCTCCCGATTCGAGGGGCGAAGTTCCCCTTCCGTAAGATCTTGTGTATCCTCCCAACTGGGAACTGGAGACCAGCTCGGGACGAGCGCGTTTTGTTCTTCTTGATCGGAGGAGTCATTTTGGTCGTAGAAAATGGAGAGTGGTGAGGCAGAATTTGAGTGGGTTATGTGGACAATAGTGAGTTGAAATAGTGGCTAGAGCGATAAGTTTCATTATATTTTATTATGGTTTGAAGGTAGGTGCAAAATCTTGTTCGCTACTTTTTGGTGAACGTGTACCTACCTACATTTCTATTTAAAATGAGTATACGATGAATAAGTATGTTGATTTACCAACGCAAATAAAAAGTTAAAAAGGTTTCGTAAATAAAAATCGCTTCCCTTCGCCGCTTGCTCAAAAAGAGGCTTATGTTTTACGAAGATATTAGCTATATTAAAACATCAATAGTTTAAATTATTAATGTGCATAGCTAGTAGCGTAAATAAAATATTGCTAATTTTTGGCCTGTTTGCGACTGATACGGTGCTTCAGGCGGGTGAAGTCGCGGGAAAAAGCTAGTAAATTACATAACATTCCATTTCAAGGTCGGGTTTATCGATTTTCGTACACACGGATCATAATGCCAATATCGTATGCGGGTGATAGGCGCACGCGCAGGTAGGGGTCGCCAACCTTTTGGAAAAAAGAAATAAACTCGATTAATGTTGTTTGTTAATCATCATAGTTAGTTTAGTAGTTAATAAAAAATATTAATTATCGTATTTTATTTAAAATCGGAGTAATGTGGCATACTGTTTTTCCTTTTCCTGCAAAATAAAAATTAACTTGAATTTTAATAAAATTTATGTTATACTAGTTGACCCGGCGAACTTTGTTCCGCCTTAATGACAATAAATAAGCAGACTTTTTTTTTAAATTTTAACGGGATAAAAAGTATCCTATGTCCTTCTCCTGGCTCTAAACTACCTTCCTGACAATTTTCAGCTAAATCGGTTCAGCCGTTCTTGAGTTATAAGTGGAGTAACTAACACGAATTTCTTTTTATATATAGATTTCGTCAAATATTGTATTCGCTGTGTTAAAAGAAGACGAAATCGCATTATTTTCACTGCCTAAACGTAGGTTCTTCCTAACCGAAAGCATAACTCGCCCAAATTATGACACATGTAAATAAAGGCTCCATAAAAGCAAACGATTTGCAATTTAATTGTGCGGACTCCATATTTATTTCTGATTTTGGATTACATGAAAATAATCTTTACTAAATTCAATGAACCCCTTTTTAGGGTTCCGTAGCCAAATGGCAAAAAACGGAACCCTTATAGATTCGTCATGTCTGTCTGTCCGTCTTTCCGTCCGTCCGTCCGTATGTCACAGCTATTTTTTTCCGAAACTATAAGAGCTATACTGTTGAAACTTGGTAGGTAGATGTATTCCTTGAACCGCATTAAGATTTTGATGCAAAAATAAAAAAATAATAATAAATATTGGGGGCTCCCCATACTTACAACTGAAACTCAATTTTTTTTTATCAAACACATACGTGTTATCTATGGATAGGTCTTCAAAAATTATATCGAGGTTTATAAATTTTTTTTTTAAACTCCTATTCCTTTCAAAATTAAAATCCGTTAAATTATCTTGGAAAGGATAGTCTTGCATTTTCAGCAATGAACTTTGTCAGTTAAAATGTTATCCACCCCTGCCCGCAGCTGTCGCGGCGGCAGCTGTGCGCGACCGTTAACGCGCGCGTGCGCAGCGTGCGAGCGAGACAGATGCGCAGGTGTGGGGTCAACGGTGATCCGTTGTTTTGGTCGTGAAATTGGTGATAGCTCTTCCTTCAGCCAAAGGACGTCCATTGCTGGACAAAGACCTTTTAGCCTAGCCACAGACCACAGACTTTTTGTCGCTGCGCACATCGTTCGTTCGTATCAGCCGAAAGACGTCCACTGCTGGACAAAGGTCTCCCCCAAGGATTTCCACAAAGACCGGTCCTGCGCCGCTCGCATCCAGGCGCCTCCAGCGACCTTCACCAGATCGTCGGTCCACCTAGTGGGAGGCCTGCCCACGCTACGTCTTCGGATCGTGGTCGCCACTCAAGAACTTTCCTGCCCCAGCGGCCGTCAGCTCTACGAGCTATGTGCCCTGCACACTGCCACTTAATTTGCGCACATCACAACACATCAATTTGGTATCGACCGATTCTTCATACAAATTAATATGAAAAGTCTGTTCTGCGGGGTGTCTTAAAAGCGTACTTAATACTTATAGAAATGAAAGTCGACTTACTATGACCAGTTTCCCTTAAACCTGTTCTAAAATACTATCCCCTAGCTAGGTTCATCATGATCATATTATCAGCCATAGGACGTCCACTGCTGAACATAGGCCTCCCTCAAAGATTTGCATACTGACATAACCTGCATCCAGCCTTCTTGCTACCTTTATGTGAGGTCCTCCTGGCTGTCTGGCAGAAATCGCTTTATAGCGATAAGATCGCCTATAAATTATTTCTTTTTATTTTCTTGTTTTGTGTTGTGTACTTAAGTAGGTACAATGAAGTGTGTTCACAATCTATCTGTCGCAGATAATTATGCGTTCTTCAAAACGAAAAGTGGGTATTCACCTTTTATTATTTTCTATAACTTTTAGTACCTCATGTGTACAAAATTTTTTAATTAAAACAAAATCTTGCCATGTTATTTTTTAAGAGTGCTGGAATTTTAGGTTTTCCACACTTTTCGTTTTGAAGACGTTGCCTTTGACTTTCGAGTTTCAAGTTTCATAAGGATAGATAGCATTTCACAAAATAACAATTTTACCAGTAGATATCTTTCAAAGCCGGCGCAAGAGTCGTTATTCTATGAATTCTTCAAGCCCTCTGGTCTTCGCCCTTAATAAAAACTACTTTTCCATTCACTTCATTCAATAATTGCACAAAGTATAAAAAACAAGTCAATTTCAACCCTAAAGTTAAGGCGATAAGCTTTCAAACAGCAAGCTTTTCAATAACTTCGCGCCTTTAAAAACAGATAAGGGAAAAATTGCTGCTACAAACCAAATTGATCCTTAAAAGTATAGGACTTGGTTCTAAAATTGTAGTTTGCTTGTTAAATTCGAATTTTGAATAGCGCGTGCCGTATGCAAGGGTGCGCAGACGCCGTTTCCGACCCTAACTTCTTTTTTCAAAAGGGATTCCACGACAGTTGATGACTAACCGTCAAACCATAAACACGCTTCTGTAATTTTAACCAAAAATAGTCATAGATTTTAAATTATTGATCAGTTTTCACTGTGAACGGACGTTTTGTAAATAGTGTTTGCATACAAGTGTTAATACGTGAATTTAAAATAGTTTAGGTTCATAGAACTGTAGTGATAGAAGAATAAGAATAAGTTACGGTTTAAGGAGCACCCTCAAGAAAGGAGATATGGTCTAACGAGCAGGTCATAAGACGTGAGGCAGGGGAAATCATACGCTTACAATGGAGTCACCTAAAATAGTGTACAAATATTATTCGAACCCAGCATTTTGCGCGCAAAGTGAAGTGGTATTCCAGAAATCATGTATGACAAGAATTCGGAGTCCCGAAAGGCAAAGAATGCCTCCTTTAGGAGCGAATTCGCCTAGGAAGATGGAGTCGAACAGGATTCTGAGGACAGACATCTCTGATAATCCGTTAAGAATATCCCCTGCTGGAAGAATGCGGGATGACCCCCCAGAGCTGCCTCCGAAACCTCCAAAGTTCCAGAATAGGAGCTTCCATAGGCAAGCCTCGTTGGTGTGCAAACCAACTCGTTCTGCCATCAGATGTAGAACCAGAAGCGAGGATTTGGAAATGGCCCAACTGAAGCAACAAAGAAGTTCAAGATATGACAGAAATGCTGAGAGTGATAATGGTTTAGAAGACAGCAGACTTAAACATCGATACGAAGTCATAGACGATGATTTTGACGACTTAGTCGACTACTCTCCGACTAAAAAGAGAATCGTCGAAGCTGATGTAGCAGATATCGAAGAATACAACGTGGATGGACCAGATGACAACGAAATGAAGGAAATACCAACGGAAATTGTGAAAACAGTCAATGGAAAGACGCTTAGATACGCAATAGTCCCATCTGAAGATGATGAACCGGTGAGGAGGCCGAGTGTGACGTTCACATCACCCATGATGAGTAAAAAGAACTTAATAGCCACTCAGAAGCTTCACGAGCTGTTATCCACGCCAAGGAAGCTAAAAAGCTACGCAAGCCAACCTTCTGTGAGGATAACTCCTAACAAATCGATGGACAGTCCAAACAGAGCTGGGACTCCAAAGAAAATCGTCTCCAGTACCCCTACTCAAGGAGTTACACCTTCCAAATCCTGCGCCAACTTGACTATATCCAGGGGTAGTGCGACTACCTCTCCAATATCTCCCAAAGCACAGCAAAAACTGAATTACGGTTTGCCAGAGTTTGAAAGACAGGATGTTTTCGTGACGAGCTTTAGGGAGAAGAGTCGGGATAGGAGTTTGGAGATGGATAGGAGAGACGCCAGCCGGGAGAGCAGGAGAGATTACGACAGGAGAGGGAGGGATTTGAAAGATAAGAAGACGACTGCTGTTATTACTCCAAGGTAAGTTAAAACTTTCATTATAAGGTTTACAATTCCATAACTGTTAGATACTGTTTGATCAAGACGTTTTTTATACCACTGTCGTAAACTGAAAGCTGTTGTGACTCACAACAGCTCTCTCTCTCTCTCTCTCTTACAAATTGTGTGACAAATAAATAGGTACCTACTTTCTATTTCTAATCGCTTCCTAGCGATAAGACATAATTCGTACCGTTTTAACATAAGTAATTTCTTTCATGACGAATCAGTTTTGTGAAGTGTGCACTAAAAAGTGAACTATCTACCTATTAGATTTTTGTAGCTACAACAATTTTGAAACCATAGTTTTCCAAAGTAACTTTAAAAGTACCAAACTAACTAACAGTGTCTAAGTAGCTCAGATGAAAGAGCAGTCGCTCGGCAAGCGAAAGGTCGTGGGTTCAATTCCCCCCTTAGGCAGTTAAATTTTTTCAAGTTATTTTCAATTTTTAAACTTTTAACTAACTTATACTGTAGACCTCTATATGACTACAGTCCTAAAATTAAGATAGTAAGCCAAAATATTATAGCTGATTACCTACTAGTACCCATAGTACAAGCTTTGCTTAGTTTGGGACTAGTCCCAAGATTCTCTCTTTATGTTTTATTACAAGCTTTTTATTACTTTCACATGTCTGGTGTCTGTCGTCAAATCTTGCAACTTAAAATTGACCCACTTCCCGGTTTCCTATTGAGCTGAAATTTTGCATACATGTTTAAGTCCGATGACAATGCAATATTATGGTACCATTGAGCTGGTCTGATGATGGAGTCGGGAGGTGGCCATAGGAACTCCTAAACAAAACGGCGGAAACTCATCGAGTTTGGGTTCATTGGATTTGTCTTTTCGAGCACTTTAGTGTTAGATAACGTCCAGGGTCCTGAGATTAAGATATAACTTAAAAGTGTAAAATAAAATTATAATAAAAATAAACTTTTTTAAAAACAAGCTTTTATTCTGAATTTCGAAAGCTTGTAGCGCAAACAGAGAAAAAGAGGAATAAATTCCATGCGCGATACAAACTTTCGAAATTCAGAATAAAAGCTTGTTTTTAAAAAAGTTTATTTTTATTATAATTTTTTATTTTAAGGCTTGGTATTTCTGCCAAAGTAGGTATTTCGCGCTGTCAAAATCTGCGCGCGCAATACTTCGCCGAAGACAGCGCGCCAAAGAGCTCTCGCGGCTACACAGTATAGAAATACGCAGTTGGTTAGGTTAGGTTGACTTCCTTCCGTTCAGGCGTCACACTCACAGCACTTTCTAATACAAATCATATTCAAGTGATACAAATTAAAACCACTTTCAAAATTTTTGGGAATATATTTTAGAATCGAATAAATATAGAATACTAGCTTTCCGCCCGCGGCTTCGCCCGCGTGGAATTTTAAAAAAATAAAAAAAAATAAAAAAAAATAACAAAATCGGTTGCGAGGTTTAAGCGGGAAAGCGTAACAGACAGACAGACAGACAGACAGACAGACAGACAGAGTTACTTTCGCATTTATAATATTAGTTGGGATAACTGCCAAAGTAAACACGGTTCAAAGAGGCGTGGCGTCACCCGACCTTCCGGAAGTTCCGCGCCGGCTAAAAGAATTTCAAGATTACGTCACCCGACCTATCAGTAGATGCCCGAGGATCTACAGAGCTTGAGCGATTGGAAAAACATTTTATGATCAGTTACTCGTAGTAGCGATTATTTAGAGCTTGGATAATAAATTATAGTTGTTGCAATTCACAAAGCTTTGCATGTGGTTAATTACATTAATCAGTACACGCATCAATTTTGTTCAGTCTTTTTGTTTATTAATAAATAAAAATATCATACTAAAATTGCATACATATTTGTTTGTATTGGTCTGGGTGTTTTCTTTCCATAATTTATGTATAACGTATGTACGGGGCTCTGTATCGAAAATCACTATGAGCAATGAGCATCACACACGGTTACCTGGAGTGCATTACCGCAGCAAAATTTTATAAATGTTGTGCTTTAGAGAGTCGAGGGAATAGCAGATAATTAGTCCATCGTGAGCAGAAATTTGTCCACTAATAGCCAAATTCGTTCAAATTATAGTTTTACAGTTATTGGCTAGAAGATTATTTTATCTTGCAGCTTAGACCTTTAGCTACAGACCTTAGACAGTATTTTTGAAACATTCTTACGCATGGTGGAGGAAGGGACGCTCTAGAGACTCAAGTCTACAAGGAGTCATATGAACTCCAGTTTTAAATCCGTTAACATTTGCTGCATCTGCCATCTTTTTGGCTAGAAGATTCTTCTATCTTACAGCTTAGACCTTTAGCTACAGACTTTACACAGTATTTTTTATTATTTCTTTGTGTCAGTGTGCTCTTCTAAAGAGTGTAAGACGATTGTATGTAGGTACTATTAAAATGTAATTTTAACTCATTGGTTTTGTCTCATATTTGAGGAATGTACTATGTATCATGAGTAGAGTCTTCGTTCAAAAGGATGCGAACGATTTAAATTTCAATAGGTAGACAAAAAGACAATGCCGGAAATTGGCGTCTTTTTTTTTCGCGCGGCCATCGACCAAACTTTGATTTTTGATTACAAAATAGTGTAATAAACCAAACTTACTATGGCATGTATACCTCTAAACTCAGTCTGAACTGAGATACGAGCATTAGAAATTTGATGATTTTCATACTAGATTTGCTTTTTGCGCGCAAAGTTTTGTAAGAAATTGCAACAAAATAGTGACATTGTATGTGTAAACAAACAACACCATCCATTAAAGGCTCCAGATATCAGTATGGAGCAGAATCAGCGCAATAAAAAAATAGCGCATTATTTTGTTGCAATTTCTTACAAAACTTGCGCACAAAAAGCAAATCTAGTATGAAAATCATCAAACTTCTAATGCTCGTAACTCAGTTCAGACTGAGTTTAGAGGTATACATGCCTTAGTAAGTTTGGTTTATTACACTATTTTGTAATCAAAAAACAAAGTTTGGTCGATGGCCGCGCGAAAAAAAAAAGACGCCACTTTCCATACAAAATCTGGCATTGCCATTTATAATTCTTAATTATCAAAAATTTAAGCTTTCTCCAGTAACACTGATATTATTATACTGTGACTCATCAAAGTCATCATTGTCAAAAATATTGACAAATCGCGAACTGTCACGGCCAAAAAACTGACACGCGTCCGTCCTCCGTAAGCGCCACCGCGCGACTGATTGAGATTGTCCAAGCCGTCATGGACGATTTTTTCCACATTTTTTAACATAGTAACTAAATAAGACGCAATATAAAAATTTCATCCGTTAAAAGCCCTCAAGTTATTTCTGAACTTTAGTTTAGTAAAAGATTTAGAATCTCAAATCGCTTATTTTAAAAATAAAACCATAAATAGAAAACGAATAGAGGTAACTTTGGGAATTTATTCTATCGAGTCAACTTCATCAAATCGTGTTTCCATCCGTTAATAGCCCTAGAAAATATCCTCAACTATGCCCAATAAAAATCTTAGCCTTTAATTTGACTGTTTAGTACCTCAAAAATGAAAAATGAAAACCTCATTTTCGCCATTTTCTCTGCTACCCGGCCTTAATCAAATTGAAACGCGTGTGCATAATGGCTCCCATAATAAATTGTTAATAAAAACTAAATTTTTCGTAACTACAACACCATGTTCACCACACCTGCCGTACGCGGAATTATTATTGTTTTTGAGCATGCAGTTAACAGGGGGAAAACTGGCCAAGTGCGAGTCGAAATTGCAGACGAAGGGTTCCGTACAGTCAGGGTCAAATAGTTCGTGCGTGACACCAGGTGACACCCACAACCTTATTCCAATTGTAACAAGACGTGTTGCACTATCGTATGTAGGTTTATAGGAACTGCAGTAAGTTAAAAAACTTTAAATAAAATATTTTATAGTCAAAAATAAAGACCCAATATACTGAACTGTCCTATCCGTGACATTGACAGCGGGGCGCCACCGTCAATACCGGATCGCTGGTTCCAATTTTTGCCATGTTGGAAACTTTAGAACGATGGTGGCGTCCCCCTGTCAATGAGTTTGGTGGGACAGTTCTGTTTGGGTCATCTTCTATACTTACATTCCTTATAAATGTCAGCTAAGTAGGTAAGTACTAATTTTCAGCTGTTAGATGCGGAGGCATTTACGGACTCCGTTGCCAACCTTTAGGGTACGGAACCCTAATGAGTATTATTATTTTATGTTGTGTACATGCGAAGTAAACAAAGGGTGGACGTACGCATTTCTGACCCCTTGTTTGTGCGCTAATAATATTGTCGATCGAATGGCTAGTGGACCCAGTGCAAAAGAAGCGTTTTCTCTTGGGTTCGATTCTTGATTCTATTAAGTTTGTAAACATTGGTGATTGGGGGGAGGCCCATGTTCAGCAGTTCCTATGAATAAATGATGATGATCATTAAAATATAATTAGCTTTGTTCTAGGTTTCTAGTTTAGAGTGTAGGTACGTAGAATTTGGTCTTAGTAGGCCATTTATTATTTCGCACAACAACAATATAATAAAATCGGAAGTATTCCTTCAATCAAGATAATGATGGTTAATTAATTTCTTAATAATTAAATACTAAGCATAAAATAAGTTAAACTAACACTACTTACCCTCTTTATTTCATCATTTTCAATTCATTCTGTGCACACATGTTTAGAGTTGCGGTTTAGATTAATCTATGGAATATTATCTGTGCCTGAATATGACTGTAACTTGTTTTGTGAGCCTTAAATAAATAAATAAATAATTTCAGAGTCGCCTCCCCACCCTCAGTTTACTCTGAGGAGACTTACAAATCGTTCACGAGCTTGAAGCCCACGTCTGCGGCGCCGCTCACCATCGCTGCTCTCATGCTGACCCTGTGTGGAGCCCTGACCACTGGCTTGAGCTTCAACATGATGTATACGGTAAGAGAACCACCAGCTTATACCTACTTACTTAGTTTAAAAAAATATATTTAAACGCCTAATGTTGAGTATATTATAAAAGGTTGTTTCGACGTAAAAATGTAGATTTGCCTGGATCAAAATGTAAGGCGCAATGAAAATACCGACGACCGAATTAACTTTATAACGTTGTAATAAATATTATGTAGGTACAAGTATTTACTTGTGCAATATCAGTTATTTACAAAAGTTCACATTCACTCACTCGTAATTCCAGTGACAAAATTATCGGAACTAAATCGAGTCTTGCTGATCGCTTAAAAGTTTCTAGTAAGCTATGGCTCAGTTCTACCATCTTACTACCTAAGAAGCGAAGACTTGGGTGGCACACTTTTAGTTATGTTTATGTTCTATCTCCTGTCCTAATCCGTCTGGCCTGTATGGGAAGAGTGGGCCAAATCCTCCATTTGCCTCTGGTAAATTATAGAGGGTCGTGGTCCTGCAGTGGAGATTAAATGACCTAAATGATGATGATGATGTTCTATCTTATTTATTTCCAGATGGGCCGCGTTTACTACCTTGACTTCGGAGTGCTGTCAGGCTTTACCTGCTTCCTGCTGGGACTGCTCGGCTTCAGGTCTAGGAGGCAGCATCTGCTGCCCAACAGGAACTATGTTTCTGGTATGTTGTATAAAGCTATTTTTATATGGTCCGGAAAACGCTGTGTAGGCAAGCCTCCCACTTGATAGACCGACGATCTGGTGAAGTTCTAAGTATAATAGTATGGCCGGTCGTTGTAGAAATGTAGAAATCCATGGGGGACGCTAATTCTATCATAACGACATAAGGTTGAATTGAAATCAGTTGAAACGGTTGATATTTTTAGTTACTGAGAGCTCTGGTAGGATATTAAATCTGATCTTTTGTATGTGTAAAAATAACAGACACAAAAGCATTGCTACTTAGGTACTTTTATTACCAGTGTTTTATTGTTTCCACCCGCATAGTTTTACCACAAAAATATTACATTCTTAACCGTAAGTTTTTTACTTACTTATTTGTTAAATTCTTATGCGGGTCTAAGTAAGTAGTAGCCATTTAGAAATAACAATTTATCTTTAGGAAATTACTTGCCCTACGTAATTTAGTTAAATGCTTAGGGTTAAATGTCACATCTATTTTTTTACGCACGCGCTACCCTCATCTTACCACCTCATAAATCAGTCATGACTTTTATTTTATTAACTTCCAATCGATAAGTAAGGGAGAGTCCGCCAATTTGGACCAGTTTTTTTCAATCCCATTTTACACATAGTTTTCTTTTGTTTTTGCTAATGTCCATGGTATATAATAAAAGATACATTATTCAACTTANACATTGGTCCATTCGGAGCCGGATCGGACACTTCGGCAGCAAAAGCGAGTGGGGAGTTTCATCGGCTTCATAACCGGAAGCAAGGGGAGCGTAGTACAATGCCGGTGACTCGGAGTAGAGGCAGACCCGCGGAGCCGATCGAGGCACAGGAGCGCCCTGAGGAGAGCGCTCCCGCGACCGCGTCACAGTCAGTGGCGGCCCCGAGGCCGTCAGCGCCGGAACCGGTGCGGCATATCGAGCCGCCCGGCTCCCCGTCGGAGGCGCCACCACCACCGCCAGCACCGTCGTCGCAACGGCAGCACGACGACGCAGCAAGAGCGTCGTCGACGAAATCCGACCGTGCGCGAAGGATCGCGCGCGCCAANCACACATATCGATAGAGCTTTAATCGAGTACACATCACTGCACTGATCAAATTCGCCGCTGCGGTAATGTTGCACGTGCTTTTGATGTAAAGGTCGCATGTCCGCAATGCGTAAGTCAAGATTTGAAGCTGTTTGAGATTGAACTTTTAAATTTTTACGACTGTAAAACAACCAGATCGACGTATGATACTACTGTATACGGTTCAAATTATTTATTTATGTAGTCTCGATTCAGAGCATAAACACAGTTTGATTGTTGGATTCCTAAGTTTCAAACTCTAGTTCACTTAGCACAGTAGCGTCTTATTCACTTCTAATAGAGCTGTATTTGCAACACAAATGTTTAATCTAAAGTGCCGTACAATACAAACATACTGTACAGACGACAGTACATTAAGCTTAACACTGTAACGCCTTATGTCTTTGCAATAGGGCCGATTTTGCAACTAGAATGTTTATCTTTGTGTGCATTTCACCTCAAAATAAGCCATTGCCACACAATTACAAATTTGCGTTGAATACATCCCAACTAATATTGTGCACGACGGACGGCCCCGAATAGAAACTTATAGCTGTAAATAATTGTTTCGTTTTTTGTTTCATAGTTGTTTCATAGTTATTTCGTTTTATAAAGTTTGTNGACATTTTAACATTAGTTATTAAAAAAAAATTAGACATAGAGTTACTACTCAAACTAAAATAAAAATTATTTGAAAAACTCTGGCGGTTTTAACATTAGTCAAAAATATCAAAACTGAATATTTCTTCACCTTTTTATCTTTGTTAAAATATCTGTAATCTTTACTTTCAGCAAACATAATAGACAGATACAATATTTACTTTGACTTGTGATTTAATAGCAAACCCTTGTATTTGTTTTAAAACCTCTAAGGCTTTATAAATAAAACTAATGTTATATTTTTGGCGTTACAAATCCAAAGCTTACACAATTTTGTTACTTCATCCAGTATAATTTAAAATAAACAAAATAAAGTACCTACATACATAGAATAAATAAAGTCACGTACAGCCGCAGAAGAGACGCGAGTGTAACTCACAATTTACGTGCTAAGGTGCGCATTAAAATTTATACGTTACTTACTTTGGCGTCGCACGTTTTAAAATCCTCGTTATTTTTACGTATACTCTACGATTTGTATTTATTTATTTATGTAGAAAGTTGGATTACCTCGGCCTGAAGGCGAATGAAAAATAAAGCACACAAGTTTATCTTATAACGCAAGGATAAGCTTAGACAGTCCTTTATTTTAAAGTCCTTAATTTTTATGTTTTAAATTATGCCAACAAACGATATGTGATAAACTTGTTAAAAAACTATGAAATATTGTTTTGCGACTAAAATCAATGTAATAGGTAGATAATTTAATTCTATTCGCAAAACAATAGAATTTTGCAAAGCTAGTATGAAAAAATAGGGCGATATCTGAAAACTTTCCGGAATAGGTATATCGGTGAAAGGTTTCGCGTAAAACTTTTACAAGTAGTTTTCTTTCAGATAAGATTGTATGAAATCGTCTCTGAAGGTTTTTTCATTAAAGTTTTTCAATTTGTATTTTGAAACAGATGCGGACTGAAAGAAGCTTAATTAGTTTTTCAGGTTACACTGATTCTTTTGCCGTTTCTTCTTACTAATACAAAATAACTTTATATATTTTAAATTGTAGAGTGTTTTATTGTATAGCCTCTAAATAATAGGACATATGTAATAAGATTAGATTAGTTAATCGTTAAACGGTTAAAATATACTTTTGTATGACCTATCAATTGTTCTAGCCAATATTCACTGTTCACAAATTTTTACCATTAATACTCTTCGCAAAGTATTTTTAGTAAGTTACTAAAAGATCGACAGTTTGCTTTAAAAATGAGAAATATTGAACATGACCTTCTAACAACTGAATGCAATCTCGAATGCATTTGCATTTTATCATACAATTCACATAAGTGAATGCATAAGCATTCACGAAACTAGAAAGAGCTTACAAAAAGGTTATTACAATGCCATTCACAGTGCACTACAAGTGCAGAGAGCGCTGTTAATTATTCCCGTCCACTTGTTTAGAGCTCCGAGGACAGACGGCCGAGTTTTGTCTTATTTTCATACAAATAAAGGCAGAGGAGAGGCGAGACCCTCTCAGAATTTCGAGCGCAGCTAGGGTTGTCAGATGGTTGCGATTTGGCGATCTTCCCGAATTTTTGTATGACCGACTGTACACAATAAATAATCTGGCATGGCTGGTGGCATGCTTACCTGACCTGTATGTTTAATTTTAATCAATCATAATCATAAGAAAATAATCGTTTCAGCCACAGTGACAGGACGTCCACTGCTGAACATAGCCTAAGCATTTCCAGATTGATCGACTGGTAGCGGCCTGCATTCAGCGCCGTCCTGCTGCCTTTATAATAATATGGTCGTAGTTGTCCCACACTACGCTTTTCGGAACAAGGCCAGAACCATAATAATGTTTAATGTTATTGTTTCATTGTTTCTCCCAACCAAAGTCCCAAAATCGCGACAACTTATTTTTTCTCCCGATAATGGGGTAATTCAATCTGGCAACCCTACCGCAGCATGGAATATTCTATGGCAGCGTAATGAGACTCGTGCGAAAGAATTAAGTGTTTCATCTTGCTGTTTTTGAATAAAAAATAGAGGTGTATAAAACCGATCTCGAGTGTAAATAAAGCAACGTTGCAGCGGTGAAATTAAATGAAAACAATCATTAATGTTTTAGTGTTTCCACTGAAGATTTTTTATTTGTAGATTTTTTAACTCGCTTTATGCGCTCTACATGGATTTTCAATGAAGTACGAACTTACTTAGTTATTTATTAATTTTTTAACAAAGCCACACGTGTACACAATAAATATAATGTTATTTTTATGGTTAACCCACTGACCTACTTATTGGTTGAATGAAACATGAATGGGAAAAAACAAAAAAAGAATAGGAAAAAAAAGCATTTAATAGTTACCTATCGAAGCAAAAATATGAACAAAAACCTACATTATCTTGATAGAATCCAAAAACGACATCACTATGATAGCTTTGACTGTTCGTTTTTCAAAAGTTTTGACAGACATTACATTATCATAATGTGCATACATACATACACTTCTTACTCGTACCTGAAAATAAAATGGCGTCGGCATATTAGCACACCCGCAGCGTGCGCTCGGCTGCATTACATGCACGCTCCAGTTTACGATTATTGGATCGCACTTCTGCGATCTATACCCGGGAAATAAAACTGAAAAGTTTGATTCTGTACGTCATCGAATGTCAGTAAGAAAATGTGTCATGGAAGAAGACACTGAGCTTACGTAAAAATGCAATAGATACGCTTTGTATGCAGTTTTAAAATCATCATCATCATCCGGTCATTTAGTTTCAACTGCAGGAGCCTCTCTAACTTACCAGAGGCAAATGGGGGATTTAGCCTACACTCCCCACCCTGGCCAGATGGATTGGGAGGGCCTCTAAAGTACAAGTATTATTTAAGTTTCGTTAGTTTCAGAAGAATGACGTGCATAGCTGGACGAAAGCCTCCACCAAGAATTTCCATAACGACCGGTCCTGCATCCTTCACCAGATAGTCGGTCCACCTAGTGGGGGCTACCAACTATTTTAGTTTATTAACACTAAATCCCTATAAAGGCCGATTCACACATATCAGTGAAGTCACAAAGTGTCCGCTCAGTTCAGTATCAATGCTACAGTGTTGCGTCAGTGAAATATTTTGAATATTTTAAAATGTCCGAGAGCTGTTTCAATATTCTTGTTCAGAAACTATTGTTTTTCATGCCGCGGCGGCGTCCGTGATCCAACAAAAAATATCGTCGTCAACGAATACGCCCGTGCCTTACATTGCCGGTGTCCGGTCCGTACATTGCCGGTGTCGGCACTGACACTGAGAGCACTGTGTGACTGTGTCGTCACTGACACTGACAAGTGGGGATGCGTTCTTAGAAACTGTATGAAAGAATATTTCGCACTGTGCCGGTACTGAGCCTGAATAATAATTGTGACTTCACTGATATGTGTGAATCGGCCTTTACATTGTATTGTTTAGATCGTTCCAGTCAGTGTCAGGCAAACTTTGTATAAACTTAAGTGCTAAATTGATGCAAAACCAATGCGGGTTTGCGGCTGCCAATCTCAGCATATTCTGTGGTAGAAGCTAAATGCCGGTTTGCATTTACACTGTGCAATGCAATACGATGTAACTCAATTCTAGAGCTATACAGTCATATATGGCGTTTACAAAATTTCACGTTTATGTTATTGAACTAACCATAGTTTAGAATACATAGGAAAATACTCTCAGGTATGGAGATGAAACATATAACAACACTTCATACGTGTCGCCTCTGTGCATATTGTGTGCACTAATTGGGTATTAGATTTCCCAATTAGGCTGGCCAAAGCAAGATCATATTATCTAATAACCACGGATATTAGATAATGGCGTGTGGGGTAATGTAATCAGTTGTGAATGAATACTAGAACCTTACAAGAGATTTTATATTGAAATGCTACTTTACGTTTAATTGTGAAGCTCAGTATTCAAGTTGAAAAATATATCTATGTCATACTGTACTACGTGATGCAATGAATTTTAATAAATTATGAATTATACGTATCTACTATTTAGTGATGTTATTTTGTATGTCATATTTTGTAGATCCGCGATGAGCACCTGTCCATAACTCGTCATGTCTCGTATTTTAAAACAATACGGAACTATTTCCATCTCTCGTTCCCACCGTTGCAACTCCTGTGTAGCCAGAATCTACAGCCTAACCGCCAATAAAAACCCAACCAGTGAAGGTCACGCTTGTCCCGGTTAAACTGTCATTGGACCCGCAACGAAATTAATCAAAAGAACTTGTAAAACAACAATGCAACTTTTTAAAAATGAAACGAAACGATGAGTAATCCGTTTGATTGTTTTATGGA